TGAGAAATACCACACGGTACATATATTAGGTCTTTAGGGAAATCGCTAAGTAGCGAAACAGTTGGGGAGAAAATATTACTTACTGATAAAAAAATAATATCTTTACCTACAAAAGCTGCATACGTCCTTAGATTAGTCTAGAGGAATATATGGAATATATTTACCTACACTGAATACCCCGGTAGATTAGTCTAGAGGAATATATAGAATATATTTACCTACACTGTATACCCCGGTATAGAGGAATATATAGAATATATTTACCTAAACTAATACCCCGGTAGATTAGTCTAGAGGAATATATAGAATATATTTACCTACACTGTATACCTCGGTAGATTAGTCTAGAGGAATATATAGAATATATTTACCTACACTGTATACCTCGGTAGATTAGTTAGAGGAATATATAGAATATATTTACCTACACTGAATACCTCGGTAGATTAGTCCAGAGGAATATATAGAATATATTTACCTACACTGTATACCTCGGTATAGAGAAATATATAGAATATACTTACCTACACTGCATACCTCGGTAGATTAGCCTAGAGGAATATATAGAATATATTTACCTACACTGTATACCTCGGTAGATTAGCCTTATGAATGAGATAATTGAAACAAATATGAACCACCACCACAGCACTAGGAATACCTAAATACGGGTTGAGTCATAAAAAAGTTTTCAGAAAAAATGCAGATATTTAAAAAAACAGCCAATTTAATTTGTATAGATTAAAATGTAAAAGGTAACAACAGAGGTCGAAACTTTAGTGTAAAATAACGCTAATCTTCAATCCTAGAGCTCAGTTTCGACTATTGCAACTTATTGATTTAAGGATCAAGGGCTTGATCCCTCAAATCAAGTTTTTCCCACTGTGTTCTAAGTTTTAACCACGAGATATCTAGGAGACATTTATTCCTTTGACGACATACTGTAAGAACCAGAATACTGTGCAATATTAGATGTTGTTACGAAGCAAAAAGTTGGACTAGTAACTTATTAATATGTTTATTAAGTCAAATGGGTCTGTTTTCACTGCAATATTGGTGTGTATCATGTTCAATGGACAATTTAAAGTCAAAACTTGAGTCTAAAAGTCGTCTTCAAATTCCAAAGTTTTCTGGATCTCACTGTAAGATACAGATAACTGCTTTATCCTGGGACTAACAACACGTTAGTTTTGACCAAAGTTTGTAAAAACATCAGGATTGGAAAATTAGATTTTGAAGTGACTGTTCACTGATCAGCCTCATTTATAAAATCGTAAAATATAACCAACCTTATCATTAATGATATTAAGCGCAAGTATACAGATCGCATTAATGGACTCCTGCTGTCCACCTGTACCCCATCTCCAGTAGTCACAAGAAGCTAAACATTAACAAATAGTTGAATAATTTGTCTGATCAAGGATCGGGTATGCCCCCTTTAAGGTCACTTGAAATACAACTACAGTTCCTTTAAACGCATCAGAACGATCACTTTTTTGAGCTTCAGAAATAGAAACTCATAGCATAAAAACAATATTCTAGAAACTCATAGCATAAAAACAATATTCTAGAAAATTATTTTAACGTTAACAAAATACGTTATGTCAATAGAATTTAAGTGTCTCTTTGCTAAAGCAAGGGGGCCTAGCTGTTTATTTTTCCCGTTTCATTTCATGATAATTAAATTTTACATCTTTTAAACAAAACAAATATATCGAGGGTAGGGTAGGTTTAAGGAAGGATATATTACCTATACAGGGAAGGTTTAAGGAAGGATATATTACCTATCCTAGGGAAGGTATAACACATAGGGTTAATAACACCAGGCATCTGTTGTTCCTCAGGAGGTAGTAGATAGTACTGCCAAACCTAAACAAATCATGGTAAAGAAGAAATTTAGTTTTCTTCTATTATTACCCTCGTTAATCCTCACGGCCGGGCATTGGGAGGAGGAAAGGTATTTCTGCCTACTTTTCTAAACTTTATCCAGCATAAACATTACAATACTTTTCTAAACGTTATCCAGCATAAACAATACTTTTCTAAACTTTATCCAGCATAAACAATACTTTTCTAAACTTTATCCAGCATAAACAATACTTTTCTAAACTTTATCCAGCATAAACAATACTTTTCTAAACTTTATCCAGCATAAACAATACTTTTCTAAACTTTATCCAGCATAAACAATACTTTTCTAAACTTTATCCAGCATAAACAATAATTTTCTAAACTTTATCCAGCATAAACAATGCTTTTCTAAACTTTATCCAGCATAAACATTACAATACTTTTCTAAACTTTATCCAGCATAAACAATACTTTTCCCTCAAATAATGGAAACTTTATTAATGAGTTAAGGGAAAATTTGTTTAAAAGGTTGAGTTCTATTGAATCAATATTAATTATTATGATTTTTGGTTTATAATACTTGTTTTGTTTTCCAGCAGAATAAAGTTATGCAGAAATACTTCTTTATTCTTAAATACAACATTTTTTTGACAAAAAAATTACCTTGAACCCGTAGTCTATATACCGACTGTGCAAAAACCTGCAAAAATTAAAAACATACAAATTTTGCGAATTATTAAATGCTACCTGAAGTGCCCAGCGTTGCCCGTGGAAAATTTTTTTGAAAAAACTAATTTTAAATGTTTTTTAGCTTATATTACCCCCGGGATACCCCTGGGTTCCCTCAAAAAATGTCAGCCCATTCCGTCAAGCCGTTTGGACAGGTATTGGGAACATATATACGAATGTCTTTTTATTATATAGATTTCTTATTATGTTTTGAACTACTTGAAAATTTAATATTCGTTGTATTTTTTATGTTGCAGATATTTTGGTTTATTTTCACATTTGTCTACTACTAAACTTAATATCATAATCTAAAGTAAGAATTAAATAGAATAGATCAATTTTTAAACATAAGTTAGCCAGAAAAAATGCAACAACTTGAATAATAAAAGGTTAAATGTTGTATGCCAACATTACTTTTCTATTATGTAACTGTACTATTTTTATTTTGAAAATAGAAATAGATGCATATTTTTTAGCAAAATTAAATAAATACCACAAATCTTTTAATTCAAATGGTTCCAAGTTTCATCTTTATTAAATATATTTAAAACAAGCTAAACAAAATAGAAAAAAGTTGAGAAGTTTTACTTTGCAGGATTAATAATTTAGCTCTAAATTTCTCTGTTCTACGAAGTTTAAATTTATCAGAAGATGAGAATTCTGGAATAAGAAAATGCAACAATAGAAGTATGCTAGGAGGCAGTTGGACCATTAACATAGAAAACACTGCAGTCTTCAGTTGAGATAGTCAACTCTTCATCGTAGAAACAGAAATATGAAAAGGGAAATATAATTTTAAATATTTTCTTTTTTCTTTTAATAATTGCGTTTGTTGTTAACGCTTAAACCGATTAGTCTTAAAATTTGGGCAAACAAAATGCTCAAAAGACCTGAGCTGGGAACTTTAGAATGTGATATCCTTAATCCCGATCTATTAATTAATCTGGAGATTAAATTCATGAGGACAATAAGCAATATTTAATCTGGAGATTAAGTAGAAGAGTGGATCAAGCATTAATCCCGATATCCACCATTCAAAAGTTTCCAGCTCTGAAGTCAGAACCTTTTGTTTTATGAATTTCGGGATGCAGACCTACCGATTAAATTAATTCTTATTCGATATCCCGTGATGGTCATTAGTCATACCCTGCAGGGATAACTTTAATCTAGGGATCAAGCATTGATTATCCAGCGTTCGAGATTGACTATTTATCCACTCAAAAGTTCCCATCCCAGGTTATATGACACTAACTATAATTTCTAATCCTTATATACATTAAACCTGAAGGTAAAAAGCTTTTATATTAACATAGTTTTAAGGATTAGAAATGATATTTTGAGACGATTGTCCTTAGAATTAATGCGTTTCTTCTATTTTCTATAATAATCAATTTTACTTAAGATGACAAAACCCCCTTTGGAACAGACATGCTTTTTATACTTGTCAGATTTTCTATTATTTGAGAAAAAAAAAGAAACAACTTTTTTCTATCTGGAAATATCAAACTTTTCTTATTCTTTCAATAATTGAAAAATCTATTGATAATGAATAATGTTAAAGAATATTTGTTTTGTTTAAGATTGAAAAGTTTAAATATTCAGATAAGTTTCTAGAATTCTGTAATTCTATCCTAAAATCAAATCAAGTTCAAATTTATATAGCTATATAATAAAGTTCTTCGCCCAAAATTTTTATGTTAGTTACAGCTGGCCAAACGGCTTGTTCAAACTGTCTGGCATTTTTTTAGGAAGCCCATGGGTACCCTGAGGTTCCATAGGCTAAAAAAATCGATTTTCCCCCCGATGTCTAATTTCTTGTATTTTTAAAAAATTCCACGGGCAACGTTAGGCACTTCAGCTTGTATATAACATATATTATACGGAAATTTGAAAGTCAAGAATAAAACCGATGGTACGGTCGAAGGAAATGTTTAAAGGGACTGGAGACGTAATTTGAAGTGAAACTCCATTCGAGTTCGATTCACAACGATACCCTCAAAACATTTAAAGTTAGAAATTTCGTAAACAATCCTCTTACAGTAGATCAAGTTCCCTTATTTATAAAATAATTCTAGATGAACGAATTTTTAGCTTAAAATTTTATTTAAAAATATAAAAATGAAACTGACCTGTGTGTTAGGTAGAACTGAAAAATAACAATGATGAAATTCAGAAACTCACAGAAAATGAACCCGCAAAAGTAGATGTTGTACCTTTAATGAAACAAATGACAATTACAAAACAAAATTCGAATGAAAAATAATAAAATTTAATTAAAAATTAAAGGAAGTTGCTCATTACTTGTTGTGGATATTTCTGCAGAAGAATTGAACCAGTTTCTCCCTTTTCTCATCCTGGTCTTCAATAAACCTAAAAATTAATATCCGTTTATGGACATTTCTACAAGTTTTAGTGCTCTCTTGNCACCCAGGAGAAATGTTCCATCCAATCTACATAAATTATACAATGTGTAACAAAGTTAGAAATTGAAATTTTATTGTGGAAACATATCTAGTTTTCAAATCCAATCAAGATGCAGGTAGTATAGGAAACAAATAACAAATAATTTATTTGAGTCTTATCTACAAATCCCCTCAAATAAATGTTCTAGTTCCTATATCTTTGCAACCTAATGATGTAAACCTTTGATATTTCAAACTTAGATTCTTGGATCAAACCTAATTCATAATTTGAAATATCTAAGGTCTACGACATTGGGTAGCAAGATATAGGGATTAGAAAATCAGAGTTTCTTCTGATCCTTTTTCCTTTCCCTTTCCTTTTCCTTTTAATTTAATTTTCTTTTTCTTCCTAATCCCTTTTTCCTCTATAATTCCTTTTATTTGCATTGACTTTCCCTTTCTCTGTCCTTTTCATTTTTCCTTTCCCTGTCCAATCCCAGTCTGTTTCCTTTTCCTGTTGACCTTTTCATTTTCCCTGTACTTTCATTTCCCTGTTCCCTTTCCCTGCCCTCGTCATTTTCCCTACTCTTTTCCCTGACCTGTTCATTTCCCTTTCTTAATCAACAAACCTTGTTGTAGTTCCCTTTCCAAAGAACTTCATGAGTCCTCCCTCCCAGAGCAGCCAGAGACACCTAGAGGGTGTTGAAAAATAATAAATAAGTGATAAAATAATTGTAATTGTATAGTACGCCGAACCTAGTCTGTAACTCAAGGTATTCATGGTCAGTTTGTGTCTTTAAATAATCTTAAACGAGCATACTCAGCATTAAGTTTAATTTTTCTGTGGGTGTAATACAACATACTTAACAGTTTTAATTAATTGAGCAGAAAAATAAAACATTTTATATCCTTGTAGTTCTTAGCTGAATCCTTTTACTACAACTATAATATTAAGTATGTATTTATACACTACATTATATAGCTTTATTAAATTTCAACCAAAGCTTTTCTTTTTTAAACATCCAAACAGCATATAAATATACTAATACTAGCTTGAAAACCCAGCTTTGCTTGGACACTTTACTATTAAAAGTCAACCCACTCAACTTGGATTTTTAAGAACATTCCTTTGATACTATCCCCAATCTAAATATGAGGCAAATCGGCCCAGGGTTCATAAGTTATGATCGGAGTTTCAAACAAACAGAGATTACTTCTTCATAAATATAGAAGCTATAAACTCCTTCATTACCTGGGAAGGTAAAAGATAACTGCCAAAAATATGAGAAAAAGTGGAACCCATTGGTAGTAGGAGTTGTACACTATGGTGTTGAGATTTGTATCCTAAACAAACATTAGAATTTATTAGGATGTAAGTTGTAACCTAGAATACTCATAGTCGCCTTAATTTGAATTTTAGTTGGTATTAAAATTTTAAACTTTAGCTAGGGGAGAACCGTTTGTTAGAAGTAATGAATCTCCAAATTAAATATATGTCAAAGAGTTAAAACAACATCTTTTAAAGAGGAGGTTTCAGAAATCAATCACAGTGGGATGTTTTAAGAGAGGTTTTAGAAAAATAAAACACGGTCAGATATTTCTGGAAATAACACAGACATTTATTTTCAGGAATTAACACAATCGGAGAATTTCAGGAAAATTAAAGTCAGTGGTTTTCTAAGAAGAAAAAATGACAAAAGTTTTCTAAAAAGAAAGCGGAGGGAATTTGTAGAAAAGCATGACCAGAGGTTTTCTAGAAAAAAAAACAGGACTTGAAGCTTTTTAGATAGAAAAAACGCCAAAGGTTTTCAATTTAAAGAGAAACGAATATATCTAAATGATTTTTACACAAAAATGTACAAGCTACTGAAAAAAATCAGTAGGATCCATTTAGATCCGCAAGATTTTAAATTCCTGAATCTGAATCAAAATCCGCAAAAATATGCGGATCTACGGCAAATAATCAACAAAAAACTACAAAAACTCCCAAAACTCAAATCTGATCTGATGAAAAAATTTGACAATTCTGCTTAGTTAAAAAATTCAGAAAGAAAAGTTCATGACCTGGATCAGGATCCGGATTTTATTCCAGCGCGCATTAAGGATCCGGATCAAAATTTAATAGCTTTATTGATAAAAATAAATGTATTATAGACACCTTTGACAATCTCTTTCAACCTTTCACAGTCGGTCATCTCACCTGATCTCCAGCAGAGCACGCTCCTTTGTACTCACGTGGTATATTGAAGGTCGAGTACATCCAGCAATAGCTTTCAAGTACATTCTGCTCAATACCCCCTCTAGCCTAGAGTACACTTGTATATAGTACATCTTGTAGTAGTTTTTTAGTACATTCGGCTCAATACCCCCTCTAGCCTAGAGTACACTAGTTTTTAGTACATCTAGTAGTAGCTTTCCAGTAGATTCTCCAAATACCCCCTCTAGGACTAGAGTACACTAGTTTATAGTACATCCAGCAGTAGCTTTCCAGTAGATTCTGCAAATACCCACTCTAGCCTAGAGTACACTAGTTTATAGTACATCCAGCAGTAGCTTTCCAGTACATTCTGCAAATACCCCCTCTAGCCTAGAGCACACTAGTTTATAGTACATCTAGTAATACCTTTCCAGTACATTCTACGAGTACTCCCTCTAACCTAGAGTACACTAGTTAACAGTAGATCCAGCACTGATCACTATTTCTTAAGTACATTCTGCTAAAAAGTTCACATAGCAGTAATATGGTAAAATGCTTTGCCATTCCGTACTATACTGTACTGTACTGTACTGTACTGTACTGTACTGTACTATGGCTTTCTAACTTCAGGCTTATACATCAGTACTTCTCAAGGGGGTTACATATTCAAAATGTATTGCTAAAAAAAAACAAAAAAAAAACAGAAAAACTTTTTTTATGCCAAGGTTTCGTGACAGATTTAAATTTCATGTCAAGAAATAAATTGAAAGTAAATTAAATATTTACTTTTCTAAGCGAAAATCCAATTAATACCTCCTCCAATAAGTTTAGAGTTTCAAGTTAAAAGGAAGAACTTAACTATGAACATTCATTGGAAATGAAAAAAATCTCATTGCTGAAATGAAAATCTTAAGTCTAAAACCATTATAATAGTTTTTTTTGAAAAAATTCTCCCCTTATCTAGGTTAAGCATATAAGCTTGAATAAACTTAAAGAAATATGTCTCCTTTTTATAAAAATAAATATTTTCTTTATAAACTTCAGCGCTTACCTAATAACAGACTCTGTAATTATGAAAAGTTATCACATCGTAATAACTTAAATTAGATAGTTTTAACTTTAAACATTTCAGAAAATTAGCTTCGAGGAAACTTGGTTAAACTTCAAAACAGTGCCAACATAGAAACCCACAACGCAATTAGCCAGTAATTCAACACTCACAACCTTCTCTAGATGTCATAATAAGAATAGATTTCACTAAATATTTTGAAAACGGGCAAAGTTCCATCTTCAATTTACAACTGCTACTATTTCATGCAAAAATGTTCAAAAAAATAAAACAACATTTTGGCCTACCGTTCCTGCATCACAAGCTATAGGTTCCCCAAAATACTGTCTATAACCATCATTTACTTCTTGCTCTTTTTTATTGTTTAAACTTCAATGGCAGATTTGATTGGCATTCAAAACAAAAATTTAAATTTAAGAATTCCAATTTTAATAAATTATTCAATTTTAAGAGTGCCAAAAAAATTATCTGTTTCATTGCTGAATCAAATTCTGGAAAAAAGGCAAGGTCAATTTTCATCTACATACATATATGTACTTATATATTTGGCTTCTCTGCTTAGGCATTGGTTTGTTTGTCAAAATGGCCAAGCTGATCAGAGCAACTTTTTTGTAATTCTTATGCCTAGCTAGTAGAGATGTCAACGTTTTGATTTTTCTATATTTTAGCTTTCGTTACGATAGTGTTCATCAAAAGTATTAACGTTTGAAACGTTACGTTGCACATTATGAAATTTTATGGCATAGAGTAACGTTACGTTATGAATTTTCTGCACTTGAATACCTTATACAACGTTAAGCTTTAGTAAATGTTGTGAAAAACAGTAAGCTCCGTTACGCTTTTGCATTTCCCGTTTTAAAAAACTTTCCCAACGTTGCGTTAAAGCGTATGTAATGAAACCACAATATTTTAACGTTCCACATTCATGCAAGGTAAATATTTTCAGAGACCTTACGTTACACTTTCACTTGGTTTGAGATCTAAAAGATGACAAACGTTTTGCTTTAATAAAACGTCATTGGGGCATAGTTCTGTACGTTACAATGCATTTCAGTGCAAAAAATATTTTTTGTTAACGTTACGTTTTATCTTAACTTTTCCAATATAAACTTTTTTAACTACGTTTAGAAATTTTACTAAAATGCACCTTTTACGATTTATCGAAACGTTATTGTGAAAACTTTTTTGTTACACTTTTTTACAACTGACAATCAAAACTGTTTATTCGTTTCGTTTCTAAGAAAGATTTGAAAAAAATTTCTATACGTTGCGTTGTTCAAGCCTTAATGTTTCTAACGTTAGACTTTATTAAAATAATATTGTTTCTAAATGAAAGCATTGCGAGAATTTTTCCGTGATAAGTACATTTTTTTACTCACCCTGTATGTTGCTGTTGTATTGTTAACCTTTTTAGAGAATGTGTAGAAGAATATGCATTATGCAATATAAAGATGTTATAATATTATTATGTTTAAAGATTTTAAAAATTTGTAAATGAAAGTTTTTAGCATTAGACTTACAACTCAAAGTGTGTCTTTAAGGGACTAGAGACGTAATTTCAAGTGACCTTACATTTTGGAGTGGCATGTTCAGTATGGGTGATCAATATTGGAATAGAGCCAACCGCCCACCGGAAGTCGCTGCGTTTTCACCATAAGGCCACAAAAAAAATTCTACAACACCAGCTTGCAAAGATGTATGAGATTAGAAAATTATAATTTGTGGCGAATTTTTAGTTCTTTTTGTGTTTTTTTTATGTTACTTACAAAGTGAGTTAAAAAGCGGCATTAGCTTAAGTTTACAGACCACAATGAATATGTTTTCAGAGTTCATGTTTGGGGTTAAAAATACCAAATAAAGTAAGACAAGTGCTAAATTTTTTTTAACACAAACAACGAGAAATAAAATTATTCAACTTTTTTTTCTTTTTAAAAAAATCGATTAAAAAATCAGTTTTATTTCTATTCTAAAGTCTCGTAAAAATCTATTGATGAATAAAACATAACACGCATTTTCCATTTGATAAAAGATTTTTGCATTTTAGTAAGTATCTACATTTCTGAATTTTTCAACTTAAAACATGAACCATGCCAACTGAAGTTATGATTTCAAGTAGTCAAATAAACATGAAACACAGCAATTGTGTTTGTTCACAGACCCTTTCCACTTAATAAGTTGATTTTTTTGCAATTAGTAAATCATTTGCTTTATAACAGAAAATGCACATGTAAAATTTCTTAATGTCGTCTTCCTTTTCCAGAGTTTTAGTGGGTTTCATCAAACAATGGCAAATCAAAAACCTTTAATGTCCAAGAAACATTTATAAGATTTGAATTTTCACTAGTAGCATGTTACAAAAAAACTCGTTTACACTTAATTTTTTTTCAAATTTACTAATCCCTATATCTTTCCAACCCGATGGTTTAAACCTTGTATATTTCAATATTAATGGTCTACGACATCGGGTTGCAAAGATATATTAAATGAAAATTAGAGTTTTTGGCATAAACTCATTTTCTTTGAACTTAAAATGAAAAACCATAAGTCTTTGCTCTTATAATCATCAGTCGAATCTCTTACATTGATATATTAGAGACGTTTTGAAATGTTTTGATTGACAGAATTATTGTTACACTTTTGAAATTAAGCTCAGCCCTCACAGTCTAACGTTTTTTGAACAACATTTTCATTACACATATATTTAACGTTAAACTAATCAATTTAGTATTCAGAGAAAAGTTATGAAACATTATGAGTTACAGAATTACATTTTTTTAAATGTTATACGTTACATTATTGAAATTTTACACTGTAAAAAAAAACTTTCGTTTCCTGATTATTGAAATAATAACCCATTTCTGCAACGTTGAATTTTTCATTATATTATAAGGGAAAACGTTTCAAAACGTTTTCATAAACAGTAATGCATTTTTCAGTTATACAACGTTAAACTTTTTTTAAGTTGAACTTTGAAATAGAAATCCTTTCGTTACGATATGCAATCAAATCACAATTCATTTTTCAAACGTTAGACTTTCAAGCTCCCCTTGGAAACAAAACATTTCTTTACGTTATGGTCAAAAAAGTTGTAGATATTAGAAAAATAACGTTACATTTCCACAAAACGCTAACGTTGGGGGTATATTCCTCTAACGTTAACGTTTAACGTTAACGTTAGGTATGAGCTCCTATAACGTTAATGTTTAACGTTCACGTTATATAGAATATATCCAAACGTAACAACGTAACGTACAAAAACGTACATTTTACGTTATGTTACACTATCGTTGACATCTCTACTAGCTAGCTTGGCATTTTCCACCAGCCTATAAATTTTAAGAATGAACCAGTGTGAATCTTTGATGGCACCCTTTAAAAGAATGGTCAGGGAAATATGGTGTCAAGGTTTGAAGGTTGGAAACCATGGTTGACGTGAAGTAAGGATTGCCTGCCACAAACAAGTGCAGTGCAAATGATGAGCAGAGCCGGAGACTGGAAACACAGGGTGGAGGAGATTTTAAACTTCAGTTTTTTATCTGTTTTATTTTACTACCATTGAAATTCAATCTTTCTTTTTAGTTAGCTTTTTGTTTTTTAGCTTCCTATTTATAATTTCCTTATTTGAGGTAACGTTATTATAATTTATGATGCTGGTATGATAATATTTTCACACAAAAAATCAATATCCCAACATAGAACTTAAATCTGCAGAAAAGGGAAAATGTGATGAGGATTCCCCAAGATTGCTTGAGAGTGTTGGCTGAAAGTAATAATAGTCATTAGGTGTTCATAGCAAGTTTGCCAGACATAGATAAAGTTACAGTGCAATTAAGCTTTCTTAATATACCAGGGCATATATTTATCGAGGGAGTGACAGCAATTATCAAAAATGTCAAAAATAGGAATTTCCCAAAAACCCAGGGATTTGGAATTTTTCCCAAATGACTGGGTATCTGAAAAATTTCCCAAATACCTGCAGATATTGGAGGGCGGTATACTTTTAAGATTTGGGAAATTTTTCAAATGACCGGAATTTTTTCAAGATACCCAGGCATTTGAGAAATTCGCTAAATACCCAGACATTTAAAGAATTTCCAGTCATTTGAGAAATTTCCAAAATCTTAAAAATATACCACCCTCAAATACATGTAGGAATTTGGGGAATTTCCCAAATGCCAGGGTATCTGGGAAATTTCAAAAATGCCTGGGTATCTGGAAAATTTCCCAAATGACTTGGTATCTGAGAAATTTCCCAAATACCTACAGATATTTGAGGGTGGTATATTTTTAACATTTTGGAAATTTCTCAAATGATTGGAAATTTCCCAATGCCTGGGTATCTGGAAAATTTCCCAAATGCTGTTGTGTCATGTATTTATCATACCCTACTAACCTGCCAATGGCATATAGAATTAATTATTTATATTTGCTCACATCATTTTTTTGAAAATAATTGTTGGGTACAATAAAAAGGTGGACAAATTCACCGAGTTTTATTTTTAATCCTTATCCTCCAATTTAGCATAAACAATATTATATCAATTTCAATTTGAATGTTTTGCTAACAAAAAATTGTCAGCAAAAAGTATAATTCAAATGTTAAAAGATGAATTTGGTGTTAATGAATTCATTTCTGATTGGTCAAATTTTTAAAACACTTAATTGTCTATATGTTTTCTTTGAATTTATGTAAATATTTCATTTACTTAATTTTTCTATGCCTCATGAGTTGTGTGTTCTTTATAAATTGTTAAACTTGAATTTCAATCAAGTGATAGTCTTGACTTGAATCATGCAACCTTGTAACTTATCAAGTTGTCAAACTCTGTCACTTGAACTCAAAAGTTTTAAAAAAATCATAATTTTTTAAAAAGATTTTAGAAAAATCTCCTCCCCAATCCCTACCGCCTTATAGGATAATTTACAGCTCCAGGTATCTATTGATATCCCTGAGGGTTCAATGAGTTGTCCTGATCCAATAATATCAATAATCAAGATTTATGTAACAATGGTTTTAAACAAGGTTTGTAGCAGGTTTGTTGGATATGAGATAAGGATAAGGATAAGGATAAGGATAAGACTGTTTTCTAATTGTCTCCATGAGTATGATTTAAAGGATTCCTAGGGATTTCACTATAGAAGCAGCCAGCATCGCCATATTCAGATGATGGCACTCAAATTACTGCCTACATTTCAGTAATTTTACTTTAATTCTCTAAAATTAAATTAAACTGGAAACATATAAACTTTTCTATTTTCAAGTTAAAATTTGAACATTTTATACTTGCTAGAGTTGGCTATTAGCATAATATTTAGATAGTATGACACTTTGAAAACATACTGTTCATCACTTTTCAGTCACTTAAAGGAAGTGTTCGCGAAAAATAAAAGGGGGTATAGGCTTACAACGAAAAATAAGCGCTCTTGATTCCTACTAATCTTACTTCTATCATTTGTGTCTATAAGGAGTAAATTGTTAAAAACATTTAATCCCAAACATTTAATTCAGATATTACAAACAGTAGTCATCAAGTATTTTTCAAGGCATTCGTATATTGTTAATATTTCATAATATTTTTGATTTGATTTTTTAAAATAATATTTCGCTGGAGCTGGATTTTCGTACATTCCTGGAAAATTGTGAAAATGTCGTCTTCAATATCAAAAATCCTCGAAACAGTAATTAATGTTTTCAAAAGTAACTATTAGATCATAAAAAATTAAAAATATCATGAAATATCAACTATATACAAATGCGTCGAAAAAGTATCAATGATTATTGGTTGTAATATAAATGATTTGTTCGGAATTAAATTTATTTTTTCCATCCGAGTTGAATGTAGCAATTTTCTGAATTTGTATGGTCACTACGTTCTTCGGTATGGGTCATTATTAACAATTTTCTCCTTATAGACGCAACAGATAGAACTAGAAGTAAGATAAGTAGCGATCAAAAGCTCTTATTTTTCGCCGTAAGCCTTTACCCCTTATCATTTTTCGCAAACACTCCCTTTAAGTTCAGTCTTTTCAGTACTGATTGGATCATACTCATCAATTTAAATCAAGATGTGTATTACATCTCAGAAAGCGTAAGCGATGCTTGTACCTTTTCATGTTTTAACATCGTTTCTGTATTTTAATAAAATGGAAATCAATTTGCAAATTAAATTTTTAATATTTTCATTTTAGAAATGTACAGCATATTCAGTCTGTTTTGTAACAATAATAATGTAGGGCTATTTATTTGTATACGTTAGGGTTGAGATTGATTGCTGAAACAACATTATTGTTTGATTTACTGCGGTTCTCAATAAAAAATGTGCACACTGGTATTATCATCTTAAGATTAACTCTTTGCACATTTAGATTTTAGTGTTATTGATTCAAGCTTATTTTTGTTTTGAAAGCCTGAGTAAGTTTGTTTACTCCTGTTTAGTGGTTTCTATATTATAGTGCTGAGACTGCAGAGTGTAGTATAGTACTGAGGAGAGGGCTCTAGAACCTCCATTGTTCATGAATCTGGGAGGTTTTATGCATTTGCGGTATATTATGGAAACCACCATACTATCCCATTTCAACATTTCAAACTCAGTCCGAGAAGATGGGTTTTAGACTTTGTAGTTTAATAGCTTGGGAACCCGCATTTGCCTGGAAACAAAACTTTTTCAATAAAAGTCTGATTATTTAACTTAGTGCTTTTACGCCAAATTAAGAACATTCTGTGGTTCGACAGAGGTTCCCATTAAAAAACTGAGGAAAATCTGTCATCTTCTGATCAAACAGACTGACACTCAAACAGAGATTACTGCTTTATTTATATATAGATACAAGGTAAACCTGAAATTTAAGCTTTTCCCATTTTTTAAAAGAAATTCGTGATTATTTAGATATGCTTAACTTTCATTTTTGAGTTTGACTTGAAAGCAGCGTTTCGGATCCGGATCCGGATCCGGTCGGATCCGTATCATTTGGTCGGATCCGGATCCGTATCAGGAAACGTAGCGCCAAAAATTAACCAAAACCATGGAATAAATAAATCAAAATGGTTCGTAAATGTATTATTTACATGACGAAAATTTTTCAAAATTATCTTTAATAATTTAATGTTTACATTTATATAATAGTAATGACGACATTTTTAACTTTAGGATTACTCAGCGGCAAATGCTCACATGGCATCCGGATCCGGATCCGTGTCAGAGTCAGGATCCGGATCCATCATCACGGATGCGGATCCGTGGATGCGGATCCGGCTCCGCATCAAAATAATACGGATCCGAAACACTGCTTGAAAAGGTAATTATTCTAAACCTAAATCTATAAACAAGCAGAACATTATGGTTAATATTTATTAAACCAAACATTTCATCATAAAAAATATTTCCCATTAATGCCACAGTCTAGTCCACTTGATCTGTATAAATGAAAAAAAAATATTTTTAATTTATAAACCAAGCAGTAATAATGCAAATGAAAACATGAAGAATGCATGAAAATGAATCTAAATGTGCATAACACAAAAAAAAGCTAAAGCAATATTTTGTTAGACATTAACAAGAACTGTTTCAGTTGGATATGTTAATACATATAAATTTAAGTTCCTTCTAACCAAGATAAATAATATAAAATCCCATATAACAAGCTAAACCAAAATAAAAACCTTCGGATACTGAATTAATCTATTTTCCTATAATACTCCAATAGGATTTATTAAACCACTAATGTATATCATAAAAAAAATTGTTAGAGACCATCTAAACCCCTCTAAAATTGGACCAAAACACAATTGAATCTGTTTAAAAATTGTCTAAAACTTTATTAAAAAACAAAAAAATAAAATGCAGCCAATTGCAACCACTTTTAACTGGTTAGACCCTTCAACAACTCTTTAAACTAGCTTAACCCACATACAACCTTAGATTGGATCAACTGAAACCGTCTTTAATCTTATCAGATGTCAACACTTTTCAGCATACAAACAAAAATTGTTAATAGAAAAAAATACTATAGCAGCAATATCTATGTAAGCAGTTACTTGGTGTAAAACACTTATCTATGCAACATTTAGATTGGTTAGTTCAGTGGTTTGGTTCATCTGGAAACAAAATATTAAAATTAAACATTTGCCCGTTTTCAAAATATAAAGCTGAAAACTAAACGTGGAACACCAATACACAGAAGTAAATGTAATATTGAAATTCGATCTAACCCTTGCCTCACATCTCTCACTTCCAGGCAAAATAAATTCAAGAAAGAAAAAGGGATTGTGAGCTCATTTTCAAGTAACTCTCTATTCTTAAAATGTATCTACCTGGTTTTTACAATATTCAGAAAATAAGCAAACAAAATATGATCAAAGAGACTCTAAACATAAATCATAAAAAGACCTGTTTTTGAAAATCTATTTTTGTTAGATCACTTAAAATTGCGCCAACAATACCATCAACTACTAAGTCCTCAGGCCTACAGTATTAAAATATTACTTACCGCCCCCGCATCACACTGGATCGGACTACCGAAGAATTGTCTAAAAACAAAAAACGGCTTAATTATATTTATACATAATAAATACTGAAAATACCATTCAAATTGAAATGAAAGAATTAAGAAAAAAAAATCCACCTATATCCGAGCTAACTGCAAAATCTCATGTTTTAGCAATCCTCATGTATCCCAGCTTATTACTACAACTCATGTTTCATAAATCCCCCTGTATTCCAACTTATTACTAATTCTCATGTATATTGAGTCCCCCAGTTTCCGAACTGAATACTAAATCTCATTTTCATGAATCCCCCTGTCTCCCAGCTAATTACTTAATCTCATGTATCGTGAATCCCCCTGTATCCCAGCTAATTACTAAATCTTATTTTCATGAATTCCTCTGTACCTGGCTGTGACTAGAACACTGCAAAAGACTAGAAGACTTGTAGTCCACTTGTAGAATAGTTTAAATCCCCAGTTATCTAAATAGTTTTCTTTAAAATATTCAACATTTTTTTTTTATTAGAACTCCAATACAATTTTATGATGAAAATTGCACTTTCGTGATTTTCTGCTGTCTACAACTAGCTTGGGAGGTTCAGATATAAAATTCCTATTTTATTGGGAAAAGTACAGTCAAGTTATTATTCGTCAGAATTGTTAAAAATTTAGAGTTTTTTTCTAAGATTATAGGATGAATATATTTCATCGTTGAAAATATCTAATCAATCACCAGCAAAAAATTATACTTTAGAAAAAAAAACGAAACATGAAAAAAGTTATTTTAAAAAATCAGAACTCAAGGACTTTAAGTAGAGCTGGGCATCGTTTATGTGAACGAACTAATTTTTTTGTGACTGATGGTTTAAAAAAACAAACGATGGACAAACGACTTGGATCGTTAGGAGAAATGATAAAAACAATATTATTTAACAACGAAGGAAAAAATATGAAAAAAACATTCAAAGGATCTTGATTTCTATATCATTAATTGAAACAACTTGAAAAACAATAGTTTTAAGCTGAACAAACTCATTTTTCTGAAAGATTTAGTAAAACGCTGTTATTTTCTAATCAAACGACTTTCCCAACAAACTTTTAAAAAAAAACAATATTTTTTACTGAACGAACTATTTTTTCGAACAAATTTTAGAAAAAAATGTTTTTTTAAAACTGAAAGAACGATTTTATTAAATGAGGAATCAACAAAATGAAAATTTCCAAGTTTGTCATGCGCCATTCATGGCTATCTAAAGATGAGCCTGGAGTTCCAGAATTAAGGCCGAAAATTTTTTTTCTATAACTCCAGTCTTAAAAATAAGTTGTGTCTGTAAGGATTTCAGTTTTTTTAAATTTTCTTATCCCTATATCTTTGCAACGCAATATAGTAGACCTCAGATATTTCAAACTATGAATTCTATTTAAAAGAATAATATTTTTACAATAGTTTGAAACATCAAATTATTACAAAGATATAGGGATTAGAAAATTCGAGTTTGTAACAAAGACTTAGTACCTTTGTTTATTTTCATACTGTATTTTGATTTTTACAATATCCTGATGAGATCCTACCTTTAGAGATTGTTTACTAGATCTAATGAGATCCTACCTATTGAGATTGTTTACTAGATCTAATGAGAGACTACCTATAGAGATTGTTTACTAGATCTAATGAAAGCCTACCTTAAGAGATTGTTTACTAGATCTAATGAGAGCCTACCTAAAGAGATTGTTTACTAGATCTAATGAGAGCCTACCTATAGAGATTGTTACTAGATCTAATGAGAGCCTACCTATGATTGTTTACTAGATCTAATGAGAGCCTACCTATAGAGATTGTTTACTAGATCTAATGAGAGCCTACCTATAGAGATTTTTTAATAGTTCTAATAAGAGCCTACCTATAGAGATTGTTTACTAGATCTAATGAGAGACTACCTATAGATTGTTTACTAGGTTTAATGAGAACCTACCTATAGAGATTGTTTACTAGATCTAATGAGAGCCTACCTATAGAGATTGTTTAATAGATCTAATGAGAGCCTACATATAGAGCTTGTTTACTAGATCTAATGAGAGCCTACCTATTGAGATTGTTTACTAGATCTAATGAGAGCCAACCTATAGAGATTGTTTACTAGATCTAATGAGAGCCTACATATAGAGATTGTTTACTAGATCTAATGAGAGCCTACCTATTGAGATTGTTTACTAGATCTAATGAGAGCCTACCTATTGAGATTGTTTACTAGATCTAATGAGAGCCTACCTATAGAGATTGTTTATTAGATCTAATGAGAGCCTACCTATTTAGATTGTTTACTAGATCTAATGAGAGCCTACCTATAGAGATTGTTTACTAGATCTAATGAGAGCCTACCTATATAGATTGTTTACTAGATCTAATGAGAGCCTACCTATAAAGATTGTTTACTAGATCTAATGAGAGCCTACCTATAGAGATTGTTTACTAGATCTAATGAGAGCCTACCTATAGAGATTGTTTACTAGATCTAATGAGAGCCTACCTATAGAGATTGTTTATTAGATCTAATGAGAGCCTACCTATAGAGATTGTTTATTAGATCTAATGAGAGCCTACCTATAGAGATTGCGTTAACTTCTAAGAATCCTGTTGTAACCTTGGTAACAGCTCCAACCAACTCCGCCATTATACCTAAACAGATAATACATAATATTTACAACATGTACATTATCAGCGAAAAGCTTTATGTAAAAGGTTAAAATCCTGGTTGTTAGTTTATATATTAAAGAAAGTTTTTCAATGCACAGTAAAATGTGCATTTGGCTTGTTAAATCATATATTTAAGAATGCTTTTTTTTCATACATAGTAAAATATTTTTTTTCCGTATTTATACATAACTAATTTTTTAATCAATTTTGAAAAAAAAATATTTTTTTTATATTTTTCTTGTATAACAAATAAATAAAAATTTGCATTTATAAAAAAAATACTTTTTAAAAATTGACAATCTAATGAGCCTTATCCTGCAGGTAAAAGTACAAGCAATTTCCTACATTTCATTTTTAAAGATAAAATATATAAAATCTACATTTTTTAACATTTTAAAATAAATGTGAAACAATCTCTCACATTTATCTACCAATATCGAATGTAAACTATCAGAAGTATGATGAATCCCAGGCCTAAAGAACATTTAGACTTTAGAAAGAAAAAAAATTATTTTTACTAATAATGCAAATGCATCTAGTAATCTTTTTGGTAAAAACTTCATAAATAAATAAATATAAAGTAATCTTACAGGTCCTAAGTTGAAAATCACTCTAAAACTGGTGCACATTTGATTTTGGTGGTCAAATATAAAAATGTGTACTTTATGTACAATGGTACAAGACCGTATGTACGGATGAACATTGTACAATATTTGTGCAACCTCACCACACATAAAATATAATCTCTTTTATTTGAAGAGTTGGTGCAAAATTCGATGTCGAAAATGTCTGTCTCCAATTCCGTACATGCAACCCATATTACCTTAAACCAAAATTAAAACATGCAATTTTGAACCTTCAGCCCAGAAGAAAGAGAAAATCATGCCTCAATGGATGCAAGATATTTTTTGTATCATATTTTTTGTTGTGTAAAATACAAAGACTCTATTTACTTTCCTTCTAATTCTCTAAGTAACCTATTTTCATTGCAACCTGATATCGAATACCTTTGAATATTAAATTCTGCAAAATCAAATAGTCAAAGTTTAAAATATCAAAAGTTTATTTCCTTAGGGAAGAAATTGAATAAACTGGAGAGAGTTCGCTGAACTACCTGCCACCGGATCAAATCCTGACTAACTAGGTTTCAAAGTTAAAGATTCTTGAGGATTTGAATCGGTGATTCAGGATTTGAACCGATGACCTCTTCAATTCAATAGATTCTGTGCCAGGTAACAAAGATAAAGGAAAATTAGAGTTTAAAGGGAGAGTTCTAGTTCCTTTAAATGATGTATTTAAACAGAAAAAAACCTTACAATGGTAAAATTGAAATAAACGTATGTTTTCCCTTTTTAATCAGGGTTCCAGGAATCTTTCTCCACTCACAACAGAAAAATATTGTTACAAAGAACATCCTATCGTTTTTTTTTTATATAATTTTACTCACTCTCCTCTCCGAGGAAAAATGCCATTTTAACCGTAGTTTATCACCATCCTTTACAATAATAAAATCTTAAATAAAATAGAATTTAAAGAATTGATCACGTATTATATAATACCGGGCCTAATGAATTAAGATAAAACCTTAGTCCAAAAATTATGAAATAGATTCACAAACATCTATCATTTTTTTCTTTCCAAGTTTGGTATTAAAATAATTTTCGATGGTTTAGCTGTTTTTGCTAAAATTTTACATTCTGTTGTTCCGGAAGTTTCAAAATATGTTTACCAAAATGTTTTCTCTTCATCCGGTTCAAAATAAACATTTGCCTGTTTACCATTTTCAAACAAAACAGTGTAAGTTGTAACATGGTTCAGGATTTGAGGAATGAATTAGCGACATTTTAGTTCCCTGGGTCCGAATCCGGAACCGCAAAAATATCCGGTCTGGCTTAAACTATAAACCAACAGTAAAAAAAATCAAAGTTTAAACGTAAAAAATTAACTTAAAAAATTAGCAAAAGTACAAAATATATTTTTAAAGAAGATCCGGGATCCTCCTCAAATAAAATGTGACTAAACTATTTTCACATTAATCTACCTTGACAAATTGTCATTTCATTAAGGAACAGAAAAGAAAACTATGGAAAGTTAAATATGTTAAAGGAACTGTAGATTTGTTTTGGGGAAAACTGTTTCTTAACACAAATTATTTCAGAATTTTACTTTTTTTAAATACAAATAATGTGTATTTTGTGTTGAAAAAAAAGTGCATACATGTTGTATGCAGTAATTTAAACTCAGCAATTTAAACTCAGCAATTTAAACTCAACAATTTAAACTCAACAATTTAAACTCGGCAATTTAAACTCAACAATTTAAACTCAATCAACTCAATCTTCAAATTATAATTGATGCTCAATCTATCAGAAATTTCTCTTCGATTTACAATTTTTTTGTTTTATTTAGAGTTAGAGACAACTTTTTGAAATTTTGAGCATCCATAAACCTTCCCTGGGGTCAATTGACACATCCGGACTAACCAGAGTGAGAAGCATTCGGTTTCATTTATTTGAAATAAAACGTGTTTTGGTTTATAATTCAACAATCTTTAAACTTACGGATTTGTTTATTTTATACTTTTCATTCAAAATGTATATGCCGAAAAAAAATATTTATGAAAAAGTATTAAAGAAAAAAGGCTAAAATATTATGTACAATGGGTCAAATTGTGATAGAAAGCCAAAGCTTTCTGATATATTGACAGAACCGTTAAATCCACGTGGTGAGGTCCCTCGGTTTAGCCATTTTGACGTTTATTGGATACAAACATACAAACTAACAGACAAGCAAAGTATATATAATTTACTGTTCTAAAGTGCTAAGCTTATTTCATATTCAGTTTAGGGTTATATGCAGATAACTATTTCAATTTTAAATTTAAACTTTAAATCTGAACCTTGACACAAAGTTAAATGTTTGCTGCTATATGAGCTGAGTAGATATCAATGAAGGGCAGAAGACTATATCTAATAAAGCATCAGGTTTCAACAAATGACTCACGTATTTTATTTAAACTAACTATTATTGCCACAATCGAAAATGTTCAAATCAAGTCAAAAATACGATTTTTTTTTTAATTTCTCATCAGATTGCACTGCAGTCAAGCATATACTGACTACTGAGAAAGATTAGGTAGAATTAAAGCTTCATGCTAATTAGTAAACGCTTAGTTTTCTAATTAGAATACGGTAAACTAGAATCAATTGAAGAGATATTATAGGAGGAATTCTAAAGATGAGTCAGGAATTTTAAGATGATTCATGCTGAATTTGGATAAAAGTAAAGACATTTTTTAATTCATTACAAAAAAAAATATTTAGGTTAAACTGATGAAATTAATCATTATATATATAATTTGAATGAATTTTAGGATGAAATGTCTAGATGGAGCTATGAATGAATCTTTGGATGAATCATAAAAACTGTTTAATGAACAAATGGAAAGAGTAAATGATGGGTTAGGATGAAATGTAGATCGGAGTCAAAACATCAATTTTGGAATGAATCATAAACTTTTAAGATGATCTTAAAAAATTATTGAAATTTAGATTTTGAATAAATGTGCGAGAATTATGATGAAATGTAGATATTTGAATGAATTTTAGATGAATTATACAATATTTTTTAAATAATACGATGAAATGAATGATACGATGAGTTTAAATGAAATGCAGATAAAGTCAAAGGAGTGAAATCTGTTTAAATTGGAATTTTTCAAATATAAAATATACAAATGGATGACTTTTCAAATATAAAATACACAAATGGATGACTTTTCAAATATAAAATACACATATGGATGACTTTTCAAATACAAAATACACATATGGATGACTTTTCAAATATAAAATACACAAATGGAGGACTTTTCAAATAAAAACTAAATGAGTAAGTTTCTAATTTCTGACATTTGCGTGTATGCAAATTTTAATGTTAATGCATTTTGAACGAACATCTGTTTATAATTCTCCTTATTCGAGTAGGTAGGGGGGTGCTTGTTAGGTTAATGTTCTCTAAATTGTTATTGAACTCTCATTACGAAAGAAAGTGATTACTCTCCTCAAACTCAAATTTTGTATCTCTTATACTTTTGCAACCTGATGTTGTATAACTTTAATACTATGAATTTTTGATCAAATAGTCAAGGTTTGGTAGGTTTACACCATCAGAATGCAAAAATATAAAGATTATTAAATTAGAGTTTAAAGCGAGTTTCGAGTTCAAACTGTAAAATATATCTAATTAAAATGGGAAGGGTCAAGGATCAGGTGAAGAAAAGGCATGATTAAGAAATTGTTTGGCACAGGGAAGAGATAAAATTAAATTAATGAAGGAAACGAAAGTTGTGTAACTAAGTTGTAATATTTCCAAAATAAAAGTTATTAAACAATGAATAAATAATGAATAGAATAAAAATAAGGAATAAAGAAGCTATGAATAAGAATAATGTGTCAAAGGAGAAAAGTATGCAAAAGAATAATTTAGAAATAATTATGTAAAATAGGTAAATGCAAAATATGAACCATCATTAAATAATTAAATGACAGGACTTTTTTTCTATCCGATGTTTCTGCAAATGAGGATTTTAAATAATCGGTACTCCATGATACCATGTTTAAAATGTACAGGTTCGTGGAGAACGGTTTAAAACAATCTTTTTCTTTAAATAACTGGGATGCAATATAAAGTGTTCGGAGCATATTTGAATACTAGTAATAAAATTGTGGATTAACCCGGTTTTGAAACAATCCCGTTAAAAGATAAATCCACCCAAGAAAAATCCACCGCTAAAATGAGAAAAATGTTCTAAAATGAAAAAATTAAATTCGATAAATAATTTTAAAAAAGAGTAAAAGTAAAATGACCATAAATAAGGTTTTTGTATGTATAACATATAATTAAGCTTAAGAAAAAGTTTAATCTTCTATCTTTGTAAATCGTTTTAGTCTTTTAATATTTGATATTTGTTTATAATCACAAACATGGGCTTTAGATAATTTTTATTCCGTTTTTTATAAAATAATTATTAAGAACCTGGTTACTCGCCTTTTCTTTTAATAGTTCAATTTATAATCTTTGAAACCTGTTTGTGCAAACCTTTAATTATATTAAAAACGTATTAATTGATCCAGCAGAATTCATACTTTGAAAAGACAAAAGGAGAAAAAAAATAGTTTGAGGCGAGTAATCAGTTCAAAAAAAGAAATGAGGTAAATAGATTCTGATAATGACTGATGCGGTCAGGGGGAAAATGAATATTAGATTATAAAGAATTACAAAAAATATACAAACCTTTCTAGTCTTTGGTCCTGTATTCAATGAATCAACTGCTCTACATTATACTTTGAAAAGCTTTCTGAAAAATTGAATCAATTGGGAATGGTTTTAAATATTCGATAACTTTGTTTAAAGTTAATAAAAGGAATTGAGTCTTTGTCACAAACTATGATTTTCTAAACTCTATATCTTTGCAACCCAATGCCGTAACCCTTAGATATTTCAAGCTATGAATTCTGTTGGATAAAACAATCTAAGTTTGAAAAATCAAAGGTTTACACTGTCAGGTGGGAAAAATATAGGTATTAGAAAATCAGAGTTTGTTACAAAGACTCAATTCCTTTATGCATTAATAACACCATGAAAGATCCTACAAATACAATATGTACATACTATTTTGTAAAATGAGTGATTAGGATTCGAATCCCATTTGTTTGAACAAAACGGGATTCGAATCGAACGGATACACGATCCGATCTTGGATCAAACATTGAATAGATCATAAGTACTCATGGGATCGTTTTGATGCCCGTTTTTAAACAGTAAAAGTTTTTAGGCATTTTAAAAGCTTCACAAGAATCTGTAATGCATATTCTTGTTTAAAAGTGCATGCTAGACAAGTTTACTTTTATTACACAAAGCAAAATGTTTACTCTGATGCCGTACGCTTTCTAAGTAAAAGTGTATGTGGAGGTTTTGTATCTTGAATTTTACTCAGTTTTCTCAAAACCGTTTATTATTGATGAACAATTGCTCTGTAAAAGACTGTAATATTACGTATTCCTGTGAAAATGCAATCCTGCACACCATAAAGGTGTAGTGGATTTCAATAGTTAAATGGAAAACAAATTCTTCTAACAAAATATTTTGCGAATCACCCCCGAGTACTATAATATACAGATTGACCTTTGGAAGTATAGTACATGGCCTGTACATTTAGTAAAGGATTAGCGAACATCATTGCTCTATCGTTGGTTAACATCTTTAATCAGAGTAAAGTGTGAAATAAAAGCAAAGTCGAGCATGAAATTTTGAAATATGATGTGCATCTCAGTCTAAAAACTATGAATATTTGAAATCAGACATCAAAACGATGTAACCCTAAGTACTTGCAAAAACACTTTCAGCAATCTAATAATGAACATTTTACTATATCATTACACGGCAACCACTACACTGCTTTGTATGAAAAATGTGACTTTTACTAAAATATAAATCTATAAGATAAAAATAAAACGGGGCATTATTATGGATTTATTAACTTTTTTTCTGAATTATTACACTGCTTGACAACTCACTGTTTTCCAATTATATCAAGTTACTTGAGGAAAACGAGACTTTTACTGAAATGTATCTGTAAAGATAAAAATAAAAATTGTCTTTATATATTTTGCAAAGACAAACTGTTATCTTATCATTTTGATATGGACGAACAATGGATAGTGTATAGTATAGTATCAGTGCTCAATTAGAGTATTTGCAGTGCATTAGATTTCACTTTTACTCCACTTTTTTCCACAAAATTAAACTTTCTAATTCCTATATCTTAGCTACCTGACGTTAGCCATTGATTTTTCAATCTTAGATTATATGCTCTATGACAGAATTTTGATTGCAAAAAAAATATATTCCAATTTTACTCTTCATAGATTAAAATAATTAAATAATTTGAGTTATAGTTTACAATATTTAAATAAACCAAATTACCAATTACTAAAATTTAAGGATCTTCTCTTCACTGTGATCCAATATGAAAGCTTTCGCACAAAATTTTAAACCAATTATTACTTTTAAAACTCAAGATAAAAACAAGCTCTTTGCTGTTCAAAAAAGTCTAATGCTTTAAAAATGTGTGAGGAAGTTTGACCCAGTTTAAATGTATAAACAACTTGCATAGCTGCCTGGATTTCCGTGTCTTATAATATATGTATTTAGTATTTTTAGTTTAGCTAACCAAATACTTGAAATGTCAATTATGTATTACTGTTTTTTTTAATATTTGTCAAGTAAATTATTAGTTTGTTTTAAATTTTTTTTTTATAAAGATATTCTGATTTATATTTTTATATGAGTAGATATCCAAAATCACGATGTTTAGTATATATATATATATTTTATTTATTTGTACAATTTGTAGAGTAGAGAGTAGAGAGTGGATATGGGAGGAGAGAAAATAGGAAGTGGAGTAGAAAGTAGGGATGGGAGGAGAGAAGATTGGAAGTGGAGTAGAGAGTAGGGATGGGAGGAGAGAAGAGGGGAAGTGTAGTAGAGAACTGGGGGGATAGAAGATGGGAAGTAGGGAAGTATTGTAAAATTTTGTTAGATAAGAAGGTTAGCTGGAATTTCTAAAATAACTTAAAGTTAAAAATTCTAGATTGAGAATAAGGGAAGGTACATCCAACATATTAGATCGTTTATAGCTCTTAATTGCGATTTGCGGGACAAATCAGCAGATTTATAAAGATTGAATCGTTTAAAAAATTGTATAAAGCTAAATAAAAAACTTGCATGCAGAAAATACTAATTGTTTGAGTATTATGTTTGTATTTTGACTTTAAAGCTTGGCGATAATCCGATATGATATGAGACGGTGTGTAGCAACAAAAAGAAGCTTGAACTCTCCCTAGGTGAAGGTTTGACTCAATCTAACCTCGCGCTATAAATATTTTCTCCATTCAATGCTAGATGATCAATTTTCAAAACAAAATATTGATAACAAATACAAACTCAAGATTACAATCGTGAACGTTTTCGTTATTCACTCTTCTAAATGTATTTATACTTACTAAACGACTGGGAAAAAAATCATTTTTAAGTTAAGTTTAGCTGGCTCTGCAACATTGTAGCTCTATCCGGGCCCGGATTCGAAGATCCACTGTCTAGACCCAAGTAAAAAATTCTCTACCAAAACATTTAAAAAATTGCTCTAAAAACCATTCTTAGTGTCAACCAGTGCGATATACAAATGTAAACCTCCCAATCATTGAATGGTAAGAAAAGAACTGAGTTTTTGCCATAAACTCCGACTTTCTAATCCCTTTATATTTGAAACCCGATGTCGTAGACGTTCGATATTTCAAATTTTGATTTCTGTAGCATCAAATTGTCTAAGTTTGAAATATCAAAGATTTACACCATCAGATTGCAAAGAAAATGTGAGTTTGTGGCAAAAGCTCAATTCCTTTTCGGACATTTTTTTGTTCAAGAAATTAGCAAAACTAGCATAAATTTGCATAAGCTGTATACGGATTCTGTTTAAAGGATGGATCCAGGATCCGGATCCTGTTTAAAGGATGGATCCAGGATCCGGATCACCATCAACATTTAATGGATTCCAAGCATTTGACTTAAGTTATGATTTTGAAATAAAAAAGGAATACTTTTAAAGGGTGTATATTTAATAATTATAATTCTTATTTGGTCAGTGTAGTTAATTGCAACTACTGTGTTCGAGTTAAGAGGATTAGTCAATAAGTCGAAGAGTTAACCTATTAATTCATCAACCAGACTATTAGTCTATTATCAACGACGCCTGCCTATTGTTTTACAATAGTATACTAGCTTAGGAACCCATGCCCCAGGGGAGTCATAGTTAGACCCTTCGTTTACCAGCCCCTTGTCGTATATTACTATTTTAGCTATTTTTCCCTATACAAGTGGACACAATCAACTTATCATCTTAAAACCAAACTAAGAACATTCTCGTGGTTTTCCCAAGTTCCCCAACTACAATTTTAGGCAAATCGATTATGGGGTTCCTGAGTTATGATCGTACAAACAGAGATTACAACTTTATAAATATAGATAATGTAATTCCATTAAATATTTAACCATCCATGAATTATAAACTTAACATTTGTAAATGTAAATAGTTTAAAGGTACAAGACTAATACCATACGAGAGGAGAGGAACTAAACAAAGAAACTGTATATTCTGAAACAGGAAATATTGTTTTGTCATTGAACAAAGAACATGGTTTATCCCAGTGTTCAAACTGAGATGGTGGAGGGCAGGCGCAATAATCCCCCCCCCCCTCCCCGATTAAATTAAAGATAAAACGTAATAGGAGTCCCAAAGCTAAAGTCTATATTCGTGTTATCTATATATTTGAAAAAAACGGAACTAGACAGAAGGAGAGGTTTGATCAATGCAAAATTACTGGTACGTCTTTGTGACCTCAAAGCTTTTCATGTTTTGATTATTGATTTCACAAGTATGATACGAACACAATTTATATGGTTCGGGATGTCCCACGTAGCTTTACAGTAGCACTAGGCTACTAGCATGGTCGTTTTATATCTTTGAAGCAAAAAGTGTCAGTGACGGTAGATTATATGTGGCCTACTCATATCCTTCATTACAGAAATCAATTAATAGTTATTTATTAATACTTTTTATTATTTTAAACATATGAGGGTCGCTAGGCTTCTAGAGGTGGGGGAGAGGGATTGATAAGTACTTCTATTAGAAATAGGAAAAGATTAAAATTAGGGGACCGGGTGAGAGCTGCCCAGCAATTATATGAACAAAAATATAGATGTTTCTTTTCGTTAAATGAGAGTTAATTGGTGATAAATGTTATTGTCACATTGTATATAATATATTACGTCATATAGCTAATGTTATTTTATCCGTGATTCATATGAAATAACCATTGTCACCAAACTCACGAGAGTTTTTTAAACCATTCCCGGTGACGTCACACCGTACACTGCTGCTGACGGAAAGTCGAGTAAAGGCTCTCCGAGGGCTTTCATCTACCAGGGGCAAATTTATTCATTCAAAATAATAAAGAAAATTTATTAATGAAAAATCCGTTTTTAACATAAATTTTTTATTGTTTTTATAAAGTTCGTTTATCCCTGTTTTCCGTCCCTTCTAGTAGACCGCAGTGTTTTTATTCAGGTGGTGGGTGGGGAAGGGGAGGCGGGATGCTTACAGATTTGTAATGAGTAATGACCCGCGTCTGTCTGCTAGATATCTTTAAGACTTTATTGAAGGCAGTAATTAGATTAAGAGTAATTGCGATTGTTGAAGTAAGTTAAATACCGGTTGGATATTTTAAAGTTAGATATTTCCAAATTTTCCTTGTATCATTATTGATCCTCCTAGATATCCTCCGCTCCGTGTCACCTGCAGCATGGAAACTTGCAAACTTGCTGTCCTAATATATAGCCGGTTAAACCCATTGAGTACTGTGGGGCTGAAGTTCTCTACGGACTGTAGAGAACTTCAGCCCCCCCCCCCCCCCCCCCCCCCCCCCGCCAACACGAACTATACCTTCCTCCAAAACCTAATGTGTTTCGAATATATCAATTAAACTAGGAAAAGATTCAATGCAAGTTTAACTTCACGTTGAACCTAAATAAATTGCAGATACGTTAAATATTTAATGTTCAAATTACAACTCCTCTTATAAAAGAGCTAATATTGTGGAAGAACTAAGATCTTTTGAATTTCTTATCTGTAATCGGATAAATTAGCATTACCCACGAAGGATGAGACAATAAAGACGACCCAAAACTCCATAAATTTGACGATTTGAAACTTGATTTTTGGTTTCTGTATTCAATGGTGTATTTTGATGATTAATCTAGAATGATAAAGCACAAAAATGATACAGTTTTGGCCAACCAGGAACCCTGAATGTCAGAATATGGACTTTACAAATTTCGTACAATCTTCTTTGACGTCTCATCCTTTGTGGGTAACACTGCATGTCAAACGTATGCATAAAATCAAAACTAGCTACGAGGTCATACCAAGTCCTACCAGTAATGTATTTTGAATTTGATCTTATCCCTCTCTCAGATTAAATTGTGACTTGGCAGAGTTGTCTTTTATCAAGGTTGTAATTCAAGGAAAGTTTACTGCAGTTGCGTACATTCTGCGCACATATTGAAACCAGTTCTCTCTGGGTGGAATTTGTTAACATGAATATGTGCATCAGTGTTTGTTTAGTATCCGAGGAGGTTAAGCATTAAATTTTGATAATTTTAATAAATCACATAGTAGTTTCCTCTGACCAGAATATTTCATTGATTTTTTATGTGAAAGATGGATCGGCCATGTCAGGCTTTGACATCCGTCTTTTGTTTACATTACCGCCCAGAGACAGTACACTGCGGTACAATAGACGCGTACAGCTCTAAAATAACTTTCCTTGCATTACAACCTTGTCTTTTATACTCGTTGGAGTTTAAAGAAACTTGAATTTAAAATTGACTATTTATTTATTTAGGTATATCTATGTTTTAAATTTATTCATGGATGAAATATAAATTTAATGTATTGTTTGTTTTCTACATTAAACAAATATCGTGGATTCATGGGCTTTTAACAACTTGCGTATGAATTTGGGAAGTAAAATTAGAATTAGACATTTCTTAAATTTGCAAACTGTTTCCTGGAACACTATATAAGAGGCACTATGCTGACTGTATTGGAGAATCGACTAAACCCTTCACACTGTTTATTTTACATACATGTACAATTGCATGCATCACGCAGATCTAAGTAATATTAGGTCCCATATTTTAATAAACCAACTTTTAATTAGAATCAAAGATGTGTTACTCTGGGTCTTAATTGACATGTTATGTTATATTTTAAAAGTGTTTCTTATTTAAAGATTTTAAATTTTACTCATAACTTTTTTCCTGAATATAATTTAAATACCAGTAGATACAAATCATAGGAAAATCTCTCTGTCATTTTTACGACCTAACATCTCAACAAACATTTCATATCTTTGTGTACAATAAATATATATAAAATATATATATAGACAATTCCTTGTTTTCTAAAGAAGTTAGAATTCACGGATTCAGGCGCAAGCAAATTTTGAAATTACATTAACGCGTTAGAATCTAAAAACATATTACTTTGTTCTTAAACTAGCATGGCCCTTAGGATTTAAGTTGCTGCTTTCTTCGGTAATTGACAATTTTTATGAGGCCTCAGAACTAAGCTGAAGCCGTAAACCCAGCTCATTGACTCAGACCCAGGGAATATATTTGCAGACAGATCAATTTGTTTAAAATATGGGTAAGATAAGTGGAGAAACTGATTTCTTGCAACAATTTTTGATTTTCTAATCACATATCTTTGCAACACAATGTCGTGAGATATCAAAGGTTTACAAAAACGCAATTAGATAATTTGAGATAGAGGCTAAACTTATATCTATAGTTGAAGTTTCCATGCGTTAAAATAAAAATATTTTCATTACAAATTGATCAAATTTTAACAACTCATCAACAAACGTACTGCAATAAAATGTATGAATAGAGTCTGGAAAAATGCTTTTATTTTGTCTTGGCCTTGAGACTTCTTAATCCTTAGACAGATATTTACAAAATCCAGGTATCACATTTCTACACTTATACAACTGTATTATCTATATTTACATTTCATTGAATTATGCTAGACTATTTGTAACGAACATAAAAAATCAATTTTACTTAAGATTTATATCTTATATGTTTTCTATTAAATTGAAAAATTTAATACAAGTATATACGCTTTGAATTTCACATGGTCTTGGGGGGCGCGAGGATTTAGCAAAAAAATCGAATTTACTTATTTGAAATTTATAAACAAACATGAATAAAATTCAAATTTAGACATTAAATGAATATTGATGACTTAAGTTGTTTGTATTGTGATATGAAGAGAAAAAAGTTTATCAACTTCGGTTCTGGTACCACGAATGTTTTGCCTTGAAAGGGAGTGTCTGGCTGAAAATGTTAGTTGAGCTGAGAATGCAGTATTGTGGAGAAATTTTTCAGGATTCATTTGAGACCTATGAATCGTTATTACGGCCCATATTTGTTCAGTAAGAGCTCAAATTCAATCTTTAAAATCCTTCTAGATTGTCCATTCTGGAGGGATGATTTTGAGAATGGGTTTTTTAAAATTTATTCAATGTTGACCCCGAAAAAGGTAAAAAAATTGTACAGTAAACTAATAAATTGTTAAGGAACAGGTTGAGACATTCACTTAAAAACCATCAAAATGTTGACCATTTTGGGTCGTCATGATGCATGATAGTAAGTAATTCCATAAACCTAAAATCTATTTTTAATAATAAGTTTTAGCTATTTGAGGAGATATACATATCAACAGTTTGAAAGTGTATACAATCCTTGTACATTTATAAATTATATATGCATAAGTTCAAAGGAATATGAACTTTGTATTAAACCTTTGATTTCCTATTCTACGTGCAACACAACCATGTTGAATAATTTAGTAGAACCAACAGATATATTGTTTAGATGGAAGACACAAATTCAAAACAAAGCTTATAACATCACTGCTAGGCTGTGATACCATACACGTTCACACAGTGATACCTAGAAACCTCTAAAACTTACGAACGACCTTTATTTAGATTGGTAAGATGATCAATTTTGATCTCTGGTCCGGATATTAAAGCTAAGATTCAAAATAATTTGTTTGTTTTTTTCAGTAAAGTCTAGTCTATTCACTTTAATGCTAGATTTAATTGGTTTAATTTGTGGGTCTTAATTAAGCGTTTTAGTAAAAGAAATGAACAATTGCTTTAAACTCTAAATTTCTTCGTCTATATTTGTGCAACATGATGGTGTTCTATTCCAAACTTTAAATATTTGATTGAGCAGAATAAATATTTTGAAATATCAAAGGTTGCAAAGCTAAAAGGTTCCTTTGCGCTCTATGTTTATCGAGCACAGTAATCTAAAGATTGTAATGCAAGCTCTCTAAAGCAAAAATAATGAGAATTTTTATAAAAAAGTGAAATAAAGTTTGTAAATAAAATCAAATTCCAAGGCATTGCGACACTTAAAAGTCGAACAAAGTCGTGAAAATGGATGCAACTCGTCCGCAGAGAGCTCCACTTTTAAAAATGACGCCGGACCGAAAACTGTATAAGAAACACTGAAACACATAATATACAATGTTTTATTATTAAACCATGAGATCACATCATCAACGTTTAGACAGCACATTTGATTTATTGACAAGTAGTTCCATTGATAGCTCACCACACACCGCTTAGATAGTTCCATTGATAGCTCACCACACACCGATCCTTTGATGAACCACTTTTCATTGTTTTAAATGATTTGCAAATTTTAAATGATTTTTTAAATCTGTGAAAATCAGGGGTTCTGACTGGGGAAAGTATGGGAGGGGGGGGGGGGGATATCACGGTAGTATTTCTTATGAAAAGTGTCCCTGTATCTTGTAATGAGATTATGGTACAAGATTCTCCACACTTGATCCATCTCTGTTCGGACCCCACTGAGAGGTAGGTTTTACTACACAAAATATTTATATATATTATGTCTACATGTATAGTTGCTGCTGAAGAATGTCCAACATGTAACACAGTGTCCAGCAATAAACTATATTAAATGAAAAAAATGTTCTGAACTCAGAAGATATATAGTTGTATACATTTTAATTGCGTGCTCTTGAATGGTTTAAAATTCTGAAATTTCTTTGCTACGGTGGTCGGCGTCTGAATCAATACAATGAAGACGACTTTTCTGTTTAAGTTTTGATTTCAAACAAGCTTTTTACAAATTACAACTCTACAAGCAAACAAAGAGAAGTTGTTGACAGTTTCCTTCGTTTCCATGTTTACAAGTGCAGTATCCATGCTGTGTGAAAGCTTGCACGGTGGAGATAAAAATTTGAAACAAAAGCCTTCTTCATTGTATTGATATATACGACGACCGTAGTTAGTGATAAGCAATATGAAAACGAAATAATTTTAAAAAACTGTTCATTTAGTTTTCCTTTAAAAGAATTGAGTCTTTGCCACAAACTCAAATGTTCTAATCTCTATATCTTTGTAACCGGATTGTGTAAAGCTTTGAAATTTCAAAATTAGATAATTTGACCGAGCAGAATTAACAGTTCGAAGTTTCTACGGTCTACGCCGTATTTCCTATGGGCTTCTGCCTCCGGGTTATTGTGAACGAAATACCCCTAAATCATGAAAAGACGACATCTAGTATTTTTGCTGTATTGTTATTAATCTGTGCAAGAAGCCAACACTTGGAATATTTCAAACCAGTAATAAATTTGAAACAGTTGAAAGATGGAGGACGACATTTTCCAATGTTTTCTGTTTACCTAGATTCCCTAGGATAGCTGTAGATTCTTGGTATTTATCCTTTAGTTTGTAGACTGCCACTAGGGGGAGACAGATTACCGTAGATCCTAGAATTAGAAAACAACCTTAAAGACACTGTCGTCGTAATTTTAAGTGATTCTCCATCTAAAAAACAAGGCATGTCCGATTCACTATGGTGCCTTTGAAACCTGAATCTTATCAATAATGTGGAAGATACCTTCGTTGTTTTTGCTTTTAAAGTGTTAAATTCTGAAAATTTCTCCAATGTTTCTGAAATGCACAGCAGCACAAGTCACTTGTTCAGAGAAAACAAAACAAACAAAAAAACAAAGAGAAAGTATTTAAGAGTGCCGCGTGTGAATCAGGCATGCCCTTCTATAAATATAGGTTCACTTAAAATTACACCTAGCAGTACCTTTAAATTTTATTAATTAATCCTTATGTCTTAGCAACCTGATGGTATACACCTTTGATATTTGAAACTTCAGAATTCATAGTGCGCAAGGGTCTTTGACATCAGGTTGAAAGATATCATGATTAAAAAACTGTTAAACAACTTAAAATGTTTAAAATTTATTAATTAATCAGAAAATTTACATAAAATGAATTCAATTGTTAATAAAAAAGCACCAGGGACCTTGTTATTCTTGTTTACAAAATTTTTGTACTGCAGTTTTTAGGAGGAATATTAACAAAACAGTTTGTTTACGTTCCTCCCAGAAACTATGCAGTACACCTTTTATCTAATCAATAAGGGGGTTCCTGGTGTGTCTATAGGGTTATTTGACCTGTTACAAGGGAGCCAAGGGCTTGTATCCCGAATGGATAATCCTTCCCATTGTATCCAATATGACCGGAGTTTATCCAGGAGACCAGGAGGAGGATACCGAGGATGATGGGGGTCGTGTACAACAAAGTAAACTTAACAAAAAAAACACAATTTTTTCAAGTTTTCGGCGTATTCTTGTAAATATCCTAAACTTGTATATTTATATTAAATAAAGAAAGGTTTACTGGAAAAGATCAGAAAAAAGAAAGTACCTTTGGTACCTGAAAATCTGGATTTCACTGATCTAGGGGGGGGGGGGGGCTAAATAATTAATACAGTGTTTATGATTATAAATGTGATTATTCTTTTTTATTGACCCTTAGACCTGTTGCTGTTTGAGGTTATGCCACCCCCCCCTTCTCCGTCATAAACCTTTCGATACTTGGAAACAGATACGGTAATATTGCATTCTCAAAGAACACGTGGGAGGCGCTATTATGCAGAAATATAAATCAATCTTCTTGAAGATTGTCTTCTTCAAAGTGCACTCACCACCATCTAATAAATTCATATTTCAAATATATTTGGTTTGCACCTTGTATTTAAATTCAATCTGGATTGAAAATGGTTTCTCGGTCACTCTGATTTAACAGTTCGATCGCAATTTGACAAAAAAAACATGAGTTTTTCGCTTTTTCGTTTTGAAATTTTGGGTTGCGGGTGCGTTTCAAAGGTAAAAATAGTATACTATAAAGTAAAGGCAGTAACGTAAGTTTAAAGATGGTTAAACTGTTGTGATTGAATTCAAAGTACAGAAACTTAAGTCATCTCCACTTGTAAGTCAAGGCCCTGCAAGACTGTAGGGTGATGACTGCTGAGGACAACAATTGGGTATATTCCTAGAGAACGATTTTTGGACCCCCCAGGCCCCCCCCCCTCCTATCAATTTTGTACATGGATCTTACAGAAAGTGTCTCAACTTAACCTAACCCGTGGCCGCAGCGCTCGGCCCCCTAACCCATCCTAGCCGCAGCGCTCGGCCCAGAAAGTGTCTTAACCTAACCTAATCCTAAATAATACTAAATAAAAACTAATTTGGTCATGTACAAATTGATAGAAGGGGGGGGGGCCTGGGGGGGATCCAAAAATCGTTCACTAGGACAGACCCAACAATTGTACGGAACCCGGAAACATGCCATGGTAGAGTATGTGAAAAATATAAGAAACAATGCATCTAAATGACATTATGAATCGATCGGAAAAAGAAAAATTGGAAACCTGTTCCAAAGAACCAAAAAATCTCAAGATTAATATCCAGATGTTTTCTGTTTTAAAAACTCGTTTCCAATTCCTTCCATGTTAATATTTTCACGGATCAATTATTTGATAGATTGATTTAACACAATAACTGGTTATTACAGTTTAAAGAATATTTTCGCTCGGAACAAAATGTAATGAATGGTAACAATTTTTAATTAAAACTAAAAACTGTTACAAAAGCTCCTAATTAGATTTTTCAATTGAAAGAAATACCGAAAAATAATCATAATTTTAAAGAAATTTACAGTACAGTAAAAGTGTATAACGTTCAGATAGTTGGGATTACACCAACAATTAAACTTTAGGCATATAATAAACACATATCCCGTGTAAACCCCAAGTCACCCTCTTCCGACTAAAAGTTGACTTTTATCATGCGGAATTAGAAGACTAAAAGTACATGAATCATAAGTAGTGTTTCTGACTTTTTGGGCCTCGATTACCAACAATCTAGCTATACCTCAAAACGGAAAGGGTCGGGTTTCATACCCACCTCTGTGCATTACCCCCCATCATAAATCATCTTGTTGCCATGTGTTTATTTTTAGTGGCTGCAGCTGCTAGCTGACAGCTTGGACAGTTTGCTAACTTATTTAGTCTCTTTCAGGTTGATTAAAAGCTAGCTTTTTGAATTTAAAAAGCTAGTGTAAAAACACGTCAATTTGAACTATCAGCGTTTATAGATGTCACTCGAACAACTACTAGTACTACTACTACTAGTACTACAGATAAAAGCATGTCATTGATAAGCGTCCCCAAAGGTTGCCCGTAATCAGTTCTTTTCGGAAATGATTCCTTTTTTCAGTGTAAACATTTCACCATAGAGCTAGCCATAGTTTGGTATGATTAACAAAGAGTCTTAAAAGATATATAAAACATCCTGAGAGAAAATGTAGTGCATTTTCTTAATGAAATTATTATATTTAGAAAAAATTAAAATTATTTTAAACCCAAATCTTCACTTCTAAATTATAAACTTTTATTAAGAAAATTGAATCTTAAAATTTCTTGCTTTTTTAGTTTTACGGAAAACTTTTAGAGACACCTAGTGGTGAAAATAGAAACTAAAAAGATTTAAGTTTTAAGTCGACAGCTTGTATATTTTACAAACACACAAATTAGACATGCACAAACATATGCATATGTTTAGAGAGTGCAGGGGTAAGGGGGGGGGGTAGAGGAGGGGAAATCTTCTCACAGCTGAAAACATATTTGATATTTGATCCGGATGTATCATGAGGGGTAACTTTTTTCTAACTAAAATAGACATCTAGCCAATAATGGGGAAAAGGGAAGCACCATATTGGAGGGGTAACACATGTGTTAATTAAAAAGGATATATTGAGGTATAACTTTCTTGGTCGGGTTGTCAGCTAAATTATACATCCAGGTTAAAAATGGAAATAGGGAAGTATGGGGGTAGTGGGGGGGAAATATATTTACAAAATTGTATCAAGTTACTGAGACTCCATGCTTCATCTTGATTTTGTCGACCAGTAAGTCAGGAAAGTCAGAGTAGTCTATGAATTAGACCTCTTGGGTTTACACGGGTATATAAGAGCAAAAATATAATTGATAATATTAATTTTGATTTTAAATGATAAATTAATATTAATTTTAAGACAATGCTTTATTGTGATTTCACTCAACATTTAAATGAAATATAAAATTGAAATATAAAATCTTCATTGGCAAAAATGTTGGTAAATTTGATGTTACCCTCCAGTAAAGTCTGAGCCAGTTGGGCATCCTTATATTCATCTGGTATAGGTTCTCCATAAAGTTATCAATCCCGTACAGCCAACTGATAGTGGATGGTTTTTCTTTTGAACTCTTTGAATACAATGGTATGGCGATTATATTAATACAATGAAGACGACATTCGATTTCAATTTTTATTAAAGTTAAGCTGTTAAACAGCATGGATACACATAAACATAGAAGTTAAGAGAAACTGTCAATGAAAAAAGCTTCTCTTTAAATAAAACAGTCTTCCTTATTGTACTGATATGATCACCACCCACTGTATAAAAAAACTGTGATTGATTAAACCGTATTCAGAGCTTAAGTTTATAATCCTCACAACAAATGCAGTGCACAATTTATTTGTAGATGTATCCTTCAGCATTCTCTGGTTAAAATATTGATTATAAATTTTTCATTCAGAAAACAGGTCAAATTTAGTGATTTGATAAGGTTTTCTAGGAGCTAAATTTTTGGACATTTTGATCGTTAAAAATTGTATTTTATTGGAATACAAAAATATGCAGTAATATTTGACTACATATCCATAAAAACAGAGACAATGGAAAATCATGTTAGTTTTTTCTTGTGGCCCGCCGGCACGTTACAAAATAAATTTTTAATTTGTACAGATTAGCGCGTAACAGATCAATTTTTGCGCCACAATTGCCATCTTGCGAATGGAACCCCTAGTTTTGATCTTTGAAAGATTGCAATATTTAACTACTGTAACCCATTTTGATCGGATTTAAATCAATTTCATACAACAAAACTTACAAGTTTGTTAAAACAAAAGATGAAACATGAATCCTTCCTAACGAGAAGGACTTCTAGAAGTGCAAAGAGGAGAAGGTTCCAGGAAGGTGCAGCAGAATTGAAAAGATTAAACCTTAAACAAGATGTATCATAAAACTCACATTATTAGTTGAAGAAATAAATTCTTTAGTAAGGTTTTTATAATGCTGGACATAGAGTACAAAATGTACAGTGATGAACAGATTAAAACATAATCCTTTTTTTCTAAAATTGACGCCGCGCATGAAATGTAACATACTAGAGAAATTGAACCTTTGCTAAACTTTTTCAAACTTTGAATTCTATTAGATCAAAAATTGTATGTTTTAAATATCAAAGTTTTACAAAAGACTTTTTTGCTTTGCATAATCGTCTCAATATGTCTGGGTAATATTCTGTACAGTAAAATTCATGTTGGGATGGTACAAGACTTTGCCCAGGTATAAATTCATATAAACCAATGGTTTTACAAAGAATGGTCTCTTTTTAGTTTATATAAATAATGCTTACATATGAATTCCTCCATTGCAGGTAAAGGGTAGACCTAAAATTAGTATTTTTGATGCAGAAAAGGTTTCGATATTTTTAGAATATTTATTTTAAATAAAAAAGAACGAAATTTATTGTATTTTAGATTCTGTCTCCACTTTCCAAAACACAATCTCTTTAGTAAACAGAAATATAATTTCACTTTAACTAAAAAATTTAGATTTTATCGAGAAATATATTTTGCTTTTTATAAAAATGAAATAGTAAGATATATTAAAAAAATACGCTTTCTAACAAAAGTTCAAACAAATATTTTTCATAATTTTTCTGCAATTAAAAATCATTTAAAGATGGGCAAGGTTTTTGGTCAGTTCTCAAACATCATTCTTTTTAAAATTTTATGTAATCTATAATTTTATTTTGCTTGTCTGTTTCTTTGTTTCAAATGAACCGAGTAGACGCATGACCTCTGGTATAAGTTGAAAAGTTTTGCCCGACAAAAAATGTGGTAATTTATAATTTTCAAAAATTCACCCAGTTTAAAAGAAAAACCTACGAAAACTTTTGTTTATTGAAGAGTGCAATAAAAAAGAGACTTGAAAAACAACAGCTAAGGTTAAAATTCTTATTCGGCGAAGACTTATTTAAAATCCAGCTTGTTAGTGTTAAAAAATAAATAAAAAAGTATGTCCATCTTTAAGTAAACCTACCTAAGATAAACATTATTGTTGCTGTAATCACCACTGTTATTGGTTTGTAAGACCTTAAATATAAAGAAGATGTAAACATTTCCTAGGAGCTTGTCTTATTCTTTTTAAAAAAAAACTAAAAAACCTACAAAGTTACACGGGGTAATTATGTTTTTTCAATTTTTTTTTTTTTTTTTTTTTTTTTTTTTTTTCTTACAGATTTCAAAATTCTTGTTTCCTAAAGAAATGAGCATAAGGAAGAAGAGAGCTGACCAAACATATGATCCATACATCATTGTAACAACCTCTGGGTAGACAATGAAAGCGAGGCCGGGCCCAGACTTGATGACATCCTTGACCTCGACCCCGGCTTCGTGGGCCATAAACCCGAGAATGGAGAACACAACAAGACCGGAGAACAAGCTGGTCATAGAGTTGCACAGAGCAATCAGTATAGAGTCCTTGTGGCAATCCCGAGTAAAACTGAAAATAAGAAAAAAAAAAATGATGCAATTGCGTTAGTTAATTAAATATTTAAAGCCTAAGTAACATATTCATGCCTCACCCTACACTCATCTTTGAAATGCGCCATTTTATGGCTATTAATCAAAATACATATATAAGCATATATACGTATACATACCTATACATACGTATTTTATACAATTTGTATATATCACTACAATGAAGACGATGTTCCTAATAAGCTGAAAATATTCTATTTTGCTATGCCCTTAACAAAGATTGACGCAAATTGTAAACTGTAAGATTTATTTTTCTCAAAACCAGCAATTAAACATATTGTAATCAATATTTTCTATAAAATTTGCTGTACAAACTTCAAGGTAAAAATTATATTTGTTGACGCATCAAGCTTGAAATCTGGAAACAGTGCTAAAAGTACTAGTCCCATTTACCTGTTATAAGACGACAGTGTGATAACACATCCACAGGCAGGGCCCAGGGAAAATATCACCTGAGATGAAATTACATATATATGGCTTGAAAGCTTAAAAACTTCTCATCCGCTTGACCCGGCGCACAAGAGAAGCGGTTCAACTGTGTCTTGATATTCATTACATCAAGTCTTTTTTTACGAGTTCTTTAATCATAAAATAAGAACTAAATCCCTTCAAAGAAACCCCAATGATAATCTAATTAGCATATTGACCAACCAGCATCAAATGAAAATTGTCAGAAATATTATTTTAAACTAAATTTAATTTATAAATTTCTTATATTTGCATTGCAATACAACGTTAACCCCATATGTTTACAAAGTTACATTGCATGCAACGTACCAAGAGATAAATTGTTAAATTGCAACCTAAAAACCAGGATTACAATGTAACATTGCAACCCGGGTTTCAGGGTTGCAATGCAAATATCAAGACTGTAGAATAATTCTGTTGAAAAATTGTACAAAATAAATAATTGTTTAACCTGTGTTGCTGCATCTGTCCAAATGGTTAGATCTGTTAAATTTGACCAGACTGGCCTAAACATTAAATGGCATTAAACGTTTTTTTTGGAAAAAATTGAGTCTTGGCATGCCACAAACTCTGATTTTCTAATCCTTATATCTTTGGAATCCAATGTCGAATACTTACATTGAAAACCAGAAAACTCTTGAATAGGAAAATGAATTTGACTCAAGAATTATGACTTTAAACAGTTCAATGAAAAGAAACAGAAGTAGTTTGCAGTGTATACAGAAGCAATTCCCGTCAGGACAAATGGAGGAAAATGTACGCTAGATTGTGACGTATGTATTTAGGTTAATCAACTACACTGATCATTGTTATTAGGTGCAGTACGTGGAAAAGGGATTTGAAAATAAACCAAAATTTCGTGGAGGTGGGGGGGTGATTTTATTGATGGACTATTTGGGTTAAAATCATACATGATAAAATGGTAAATGAAGACAACTTCTCATAACTATACAGTGCTCCCCAAAATAAAATGGTAAGTATTGGCGACTTTTCAAAATATCAAGTGCTCTCCAAAATAATATGGAAAATGAAGACGACTTCTTATAAATATTCAGTGCTCTCCGAAATAAAGTGGAAAATAAAGACGACTTATATTAAATAAACAGTGCTTCCCAAAATTGAATGATAAAGATTGGTGGCTTTTGATAAATATACGGTAATAATATGCAATCTATTTTTCAAGAAGCACTGTATATTTATGAAAAGTCATCATCACTTACCCTATCATTTTGAGGAGCTCTGTATATTTATGAGCAGTCGTCTATGCTTACCATATCATTTTGGGGAGCACTGAATATTTCTGAGAAGTCGTCTATGCTTACCATCTTATTTTGGGGAGCACTGTATATTTATGAGAAGTTTTCAATGCTTGTTATTTTATTTAGGGAAGCACTGTATATTTTGAGAAGTTGTCAATGCTTACCATTTTATTTTGGGGAGCACTGTATATTTATGAGAAGTTGTCTTCATTTACCATTTTATCATGTATGATTAAGGTGAAGAAAAAGTTACAATTCTTTTTATAACCCAAATAGTCCATCAATAAAATCCCCCCCCCCCCTCTACGAAATTTTGGTTTATTTTCAAATCCCTTTTCCACGTACTGCACCTAATAACAATGATCAGTGTAGTTGATTAACCTAAATACACACGTCACAATCTAGCGTACATTTTCCTCCATTTGTCCTGACGGGGAACAATTTTATAAAATTAGTGAATTAATAATTTAATAGTAATTTTAATTACATCAGATAGATTTAATTATTACTTTAATGCAGTTTTCCTAGTCTGCAGTTTTCTGGTTTTCATTGTAGATATTTCAAACTATGAATTCTGTGAGATCAAATAATCTAAGCTTGAAATATCAGAGGTTAACATCTTTTGGTTGCAAATATATAGGAAATAGAAAATTTTAGTTTTTGACAAAAGCTTAATTTCTTTTTAGATTTGTGATTTGAAAAAACCTTGCTAGAGATCAAATCTTAAATAGAAATGTCGTCTTCATCGTATCGTAAACGCCAACCACTGTAGTTTATAAAGAGAGTAATGAAATTAATAGCTTATAAAATGTGAAAAATCAGAATATAATTTTTTTATGCTTGCATTTTTGATAGTTAAACAAATTTTATAATGATGTTAATTATTTTATTTTTTACTTTTATATAAGCTTTTGAATATAAACTTGGACTAAACATAACTGTATTTTTCCTTTAAAGGATCTTACATCAAAAACCAAATTTTAGATGCTAAAAATAAATGTATTAAGATTGAATTCCACTTTCCACCTCCACATTTTATATTATACATACATATTACTATTTTTTAATATATTTTATTTATACACTTTTAAATATAAACTTGGATTAAAGATTTGTACCTGCACTTTAAAGGCTTAAATTTAATATTAAAAACCAAATTTTAGATGTAGAATATAAACTTACATGAGAAAGAGTTTGATTCCATTAAAAGCTCCTGGTAGAGTAAACCCTCTTCCTGCCAGTAGAACTAGAACTAGGTAGGGGAACAACGACGTGAAATATACTACTTTTCCACTAGACTTTACTCCCTAAACAAACAATAATAATAGATATATATTTGGTAGAGTAAACCCTGTTCCTGCCAGTAGAACTAGAACTAGGTAGGGGAACAACGACGTGAAATATACTACTTTTCCACTAGACTTTACCCCCTAAACAAACAATAATAATAGATATATATTTGGTTTCTGTTTTAGAATTATATTGACCTTTATCAAGCAGATTGCTACCAAGGCCCAAGCGCTTCCTAAAAAATTTGAAAAGTCAATTTTAAAAGTTAAAAAAACTCATTAATAACTGTTTTGAAACATTAGATAACAATATTGTTCATGTTTAGTGCCAGCACACTGAACATTAGAATTGAGGAAGAGACAACTTAAAGATGGTATTTCTTTTTCTACTTATATTTAAAAAATGTGTATATCACAAAAGGTTTCCAGCAATTCCTTACATCTACATTCTACAGTAATTATGAAAAAAATCAAACCATATTTTGAGAATGCCAGGACTACAAAATAGGGTTATTTTAGAAAATCTTACTAGTACAATTATGTATACAAATGTATGCCCCGATTTATCTCTCAAAAAGACAAAATATGTGATTCTAGAAATGTCAATGTTTGATCTGGAGCATTCTGAATTGACTACCTAGTGCTAGAACTGACTCCCAGCGTGGATAGCCAAAGTTTGTCCAATCAGCATTAATATTCCCTAGAACATATCTCTCAAAATATTCCTCAACAGCAGAGCTTTTATTCAACAGCTTCTCCACTCCAACCTATACCAGGATGTTACTAATATCTGGTGTTTTTGGAGATTTAGTGTCTTGGACCCCCCGCCCCCCCCCCATGCCTGATTGAAACGGTACCCTTTCAAAAGTTACTTGAGCATATTTCTTACTGCAGGAAAACATATAGAAATTTTACCCCAGAAAAAACGACAACCTTCCAAAAGGTTTCAATGGTACCGTTGTCAATAGGACATTGCCATCTTTTCATGGAGGGTCACTTGAAAATACGCTTACAGTCCCTTTAAATATTCCAAACAGTTAATTAACCCTATTCCCGCTGGGGGGGGGGTCAATTTGACCCCCCCCTGTAGTTTTTTTTACATAACTCAAAAAGTATTGGTCTGAGGCTGTTGAAATTTTCTGACTTTTCTTACATACCCAAAGCCCTCCCTTTAGGCCTAAAACCGGGCTTTAATACTAACTGCCTGAGTCCAAAGGCACACTGCCTGAATGACTGTTTTTGTCTGTAGCAAACTAAATCTTTGTTTTGACCCACTTTCACTTGTCAGATTTTGATAAAACTTAGCTTTTTGGAAAGCCTATGACATAAGGAAACGGATTGCTCAAATTTGCAAATTTTTTTGCAGATTCTAAAAGTAGAGCACAAGAGCTTTCTAATGATGTATCATTTGTCATATTTGGACATAAAACATGGGATTTAGAGGGGGGGGGGTCAAATCGACCCCCCCCCAGCGTATCCTGGTTTTCAAGTACCCCAGCGGGGATAGGGTTAACAACAAATAAATACTTTTCATGTTTCATATTTATTACAAGAACTTAGTCTGACAACAAATAATATCTTTATTTTAATTAGTTTCAATTCAGTCTTTAAATTTCAATGTTTTATTAAAATATATCTACTTTTGAGTTAAACCAAGAAGGGAATTTTTTTTCAAAAAAATGTTAAAAGAAACCTGGTATGTTGAGTTAGAGCAGTATTTTGAACTGTATAACTCCATGTTGTGATCCCTTTAAAAAAGAACCAATCTAAAATATTTCATCCGGTTTTTACGAAAAAATTATTTAAAAAAAAATTTTATTACAAATGTTGTTTTCAATTGATCTTATTTGAAAATAAAAAAATTTCCAAATTGGTCATTTTCCTGCATACACTTGATAGTTCCATACAACTTCCTTCGTTTAGTATTTTTCCTTCTTCTTCACATAGCAAACTTGCCTGCAAAAAATAGAAATTGATAAAAATTATTCAATTTTTTTGCAGCTTGAAATTACCTTTTTTGACCAACAGTTTTGTGTATTGTACCAATGGCCACAGTTTTCCCACTCCATTCCTGCAAAGGTCGCCATAAGATACCACATTGACCAGCTGACGACCACATTGTAGAAAAATGCTAAATAAAAAAAAAGATTATATTAAACGTAATTTTAAGTTACCTTTCATTAATAGAGTTGTTTCTAATTATGCTTCAGAATTAATGAAGGAAATTGTGAGAATTAAACTTTTATTAAACTAGAAACCCGATAATATCTTCCATATTTTTAATCAGAAAATGTGTTAAGGATACCAAAGATTCCCCTAAAAAAGAGAATGCACTTGACATTAAGTTTGTTACAGTCACTTTAGACTTTCAAAAAAGCGCTCTGAATTACCTAGGAAAAGACTGACTCCCACTACCGCCAACCCTAAACCACCGGCCAGGGGGGCCATTCGGCCAAAGATTTTAATCGGCCCAACTCCAGCGTACTGGCCGATGGACACCTAAACATTTCAACCTGTTATTAAACATCGGTGGAATAAACATGAAAAATAATCTTTATAATAATACTCTTCAATTATCTTCTATCTTCTGTACAATAAAGCTCTTCGCTCATCTTCTATCTATTAAAAAATAAAGCTTTTCGCTCATCTTCTTTCTTTTATATAACAAAGCTCTTCGTTAATCTTCTATCTTCTATATAATAAAGCTCTTCGCTCATCTTCTATCTTTTATAAAATAAAGCTCTTCGCTCATCAACTTTCCTTTACATAATAAAGCTCTTCGTTAATCTTCTATCTTCTATAAAATAATACTCTTCGCTCATCTTATATCTTCTATATAATAATACTCTTCGCTCATATTCTATCTTTTATAAAATAAAGCTCTTCGCTCATCTTCTTTCGTTTATATAATAAAGCTCTTTGCTCATCTTCTATCTTTAATATAAGAAAGCTCTTCGCTCATCTTCTATCTTTAATATAAGAAAGCTCTTCGCTCATCTTCTATCTTTTATATAAGAAAGCTCTTCGCTCATCTTCTATCTTTAATATAAGAAAGATTTTCGCTCATCTTCTATCTTTAATATAAGAAAGCTCTTCGCTCATCTTCTATCTTTAATGTAAGAAAGCTCTTCGCTCATCTTCTATCTTTAATATAATAAAGCTCTTCACGCATCTTCTTTCTTTTATATAAGAAAGCTCTTCGCTCATCTTCTATCTTTTATATAAGAAAGCTCTTCGCTTTTCTTCTATCTATTATATAATAAAGCTCTTCGCTCATCTTCTATCTTTAATATAAGAAAGCTCATCGCTCATCTTCTATCTTTTATAAAATAAAGCTCTTTTCTCATCTTCTATCTTTTATATAATAAAGCTCTTCGCTCATCTTCTATCTTTCATATAAGAAAGCTCTTCGCTCATCTTCTATCTTTTATATAAGAAAGCTCTTCGCTCATCTTTTATCTTTAATATAAGAAAGCTCTTCGCTCATCTTCTATCTTTAATATAATTATACTCTTCGCTCATCTTCTATCTTTTATATAATTATACTCTTCGCTCATCTTCTATCTTTTATATAAGAATGCTCTTCGCTCATCTTCTATCTTTTATATAAGAAAGCTCTTCGCTCGCATATATAAATATATATATATAGCTAGCTGGCCAAAAGACTGGACCAAATTGACTGAATCTTTTTTATGGAACCCATGGGTACTCTGGGGGTAACAGGCTTTAAAAATAATTTTCTTTCTTTTAAAAATCTCATTTTTAAAAATAAATTTTTTCCTCAAAATTCGATTTTTTTTAACTTCCACGGGAAACGCCGGGCACAGTATTTTTATAAAGTTAAATAGAAACCTCCAGGAAAAATACAGGAAGTCCAGCAAAGAACAGCATAAAAAAGTACGGAATAAGAAATGTCCCCCCTCCATGCTGGAAACACAGGAAAGGAAATCTCCAAACATTTCCTGAAATAGAAATATAAGATATTGAAAATGAAATTAGTTCTGAAGGAAATTAATGTTTACCGAGTCCAACAGCGTAGCCTAAACAAGAGACAAGAAAGTCCAATGAGTGTTCCCAATGTCCTCTCTCAACAGAAGTTTTCTGAAAATATAAATATCATGTTTTTTATCGTATCACTATGCCTAGTAAACTATCTAACATAATAAACTAAACTAACCCAGCAAAATAAACTAAACTAACCCAGCAAAGTAAACTAAACTAACCCACAAAGTAAACTAAACTAACCCAGCAAAGTAAACTAAACTAACCCAGCAAAGTAAACTAAACTAACCCAGCAAAGTAAACTAAACTAACCCTGCAAAGTAAACTATACTAGCCCAGCAAAGTAAACTATACCAACCCAGCAAAGTAAACTAAACTAACCCAGCAAATTAAACTAAACTAACCCAGCAAACTATATTTACAAACAATCTTAAAAACTAAAAATTATAAGATATAAGATACAAACTGATTAACCAACTTATATATATGTATGTATTTTGCACTTGCACATTTTCTTATATATTTGTTTATATATTTTTTTTTATTATTAATTCTTTTTAATATTCTGTTTGGAGTTCGAATTTATATTTGTGATGGCGTGTCTTATCTTTCAATGACCCTTATAAAAAAATGAAATATAGTTCCTGTAAGATTATAGATAATAAAGTAAATTATTAAACCCCGTTTTCTACCACTTAAATTTCTTAAAACTTATTTTAAGAATGTAGTGTGGAAATAAAAACTTCAGAACTCGATCATGTATTGGCATGGGTAGAAAGGAAAAAACTTGTTTTGTAGTTTGTCCCCCTGTAGGTAGCTAGGTAGTGATATAAATTGGAAGTATAAAAATACCAATATATTAAGAGCAAAATAGACTTTACACTTTATTTTCTTTCTTTTCAGATCATACTGCTTTTATATCATCAGGGTATCACAATAAGATGACATATAATATGTAACTACTAAATGTCTTAAAACATTTTTTTTAAAGTGAATATTTGCAAATTATCTTTTTTCCATCTTATAATCTGAGTTCGTTTCCCTTATGTCCATTTGACAGCCCAAATTTTTATTTTGAATAATTTTGTTTGTTTGTTTATTTTCTTGTGATTTTTAACAAAAAATTTTTTTATTTTTTTTATCGATTTTGATGGTTATTATATCGTTAGAACTGACGAGGGTCAACCAAGACCGAAATATATTTTCAATAAATGTGGAACTAACGTCTACTTTTTTACTCTACAGAGGTTTGGTCCATCACTATCACCGAATTTTAAATTTACTTGAACCCTGATGGATCCTATAAATTCCTTATAAAGTAAATACTAGAAGTTTGGTCAGAACTGCAACATACATAAATTCTTTTACTGGGGATGTTGACGTTTTCATTTTTTGAAAAACGAAACCGAAACGATCGTTTTGCAAAATGATCGTTTTTTAAAAGCTCGCCGTTTCGTTAACGATCGTTAACGAAGGAGAGAGAAAACCGCCCTGAAGGGCATCCGTACTTTTTTAATTGAGCAGTTTTAAAGAAAATAACAAACTTTTTACCTTCATACAAAACGACATTCGATAAAGTTTCATATAATTTTTTTTTTATAAACGACAGTTTGTATAAAGTTCGTCGTTTCGTTAACGATCGTTAACGACGACCCTTTGTTAATGATCATTAACATATTTATCAATGAGAAAAAAATTTCAAAAACAATCATTTTTCAAAAAGGATAGTTTTCTTTAAAACAATCGTATAAAAAACAATCGCTGATCTTTTTTGTAAACTATCGTTATTTGTCTAATAAAATTTCAAAACGAGTGGGTCGTTTTTAAAATAATCGTTTTTTTCCAAAAACGAAACGATCGTTTTTGAAAATGATCAGAAAACGAAACAAAAAACGATTAACAACCGTAACTACAGACAGGTCTTATTATAAAGACACCTTATAGTGTAAACCTTTGATATTTTGAACTTAGGTTTTCACTCTCGCAGATAGATAAACTCGAGGTTATAAATTAATTTCGATATGTTTTTATATCCTCATCAGTCTAAAGGAATGGTGGTATTAATAAAAACTTATTGTGAACTGTGAAGTGTGGATAGAATTGGAATAAACATAATATGAATACCTTGACACATTCTCTCCATACCTATATTTATACCATACATACATATTACATACATATATATTTGTATATACATATATATGTATATACAGTATACACATATACTTGGAATAAACATAATATGAATACCTTGACACATCCTCTACATACATAGTATACATACATCACTACATATATATGCACATATACCTTCTCATTTAATGGTTTAAGTTCTTGTTCCTTCTCCTCCCCTGGCTCTTTACCCCCTTCCTCGACCATTCTACAGTCTTAAAAACATATTAATCTATGCTCAAAAACATTTCTATTTTCAAAAACATATTAATCTATGTATAAAAACATATTATTCTATGCTTAAAAACATATTAATCTATGTATAAAAACATTTTAATCTATGCTTAAAAACATTTCTATGTTTAAAAACATTTCTATGTTTAAAAACATATTGATCTTTGCTTAAAAAACATATTAATCTATGCTTAAAAACATATTAATACGTGTATAAAAACATATTATTCTATGCTTAAAAACATATTTATCTATGTTCAAAAACATATTATTCTATGCTTAAAAACATATTAATCCATGGATAAAAACATATTATTCTTTGCTTAAAAACACATTTATCTATTTTTAAAAACATGTTTATTCTATGCTTAAAAAACATGTTTATCTATGGTTTAAACACATATTGATATATGCTTCAAATCATATCAATCTATGCTTAAAAACATATTAATCTATGCATAAAAACATACATTTATTTATGTTTAAAAACGTTTTATTTTATGCTGAAAAACATATTTACCTATGTTTAAAAACAAATTAATCCATGCTTAAAAACATATTGTTCTATGCTTAAAAACATATTAATCCATGCTTAAAAACATATTAATCCATGCTTAAAAACATATTAATCTATGCTTAAAAACATATTAATCTATGCTTAAAAACAAAATTTGTCTTCTAAAGCTTAAAAAAACAGTAAAGAGATCAATGAAAGGAATTGTACGTAGACGGATTTAAAGCGATCTCCTCCAATAAGAAAGTGGTATGTTCATTTTACAATTTTACCCTCTTCTGCATAATTTCGTAGTTTTAAATCTTTAAATGTGAATTTTTACCATGTTCTAAATTTTTATGTATTGTAAATCCGCAAGCCACTTTCAGAGAAATAAAAATTAAAAATAATGATTTTTTTATATAACGATGAGGATATCCCATCCATCCATGCAATCAGACAAAGGTTCAAAGGGTGCCAGACACTTTAAATGGAGGGTCACTTGAAATTACTCCTAAAATCCCTTTAAACTTATTCCTTTTAAGTAAACAATCAAGTATTTAAAAATTATAATTTAAAAAAGTCTTGATGTCAGAACATTTGCAAAATTCAACTGTAAAAGCATGTTAATTTAAATATGTTTTAACGACCATAAAAATGTTCTAAAATATCTAACATCTGCAATGAAACATACCATTAGATCAGATTCAGACCATCTTTATAGAAACTCTTGAAAGGAATTGAGTCTTTGCCACAAACTCTGATTTTCTAATCACTATATCTTTGGAACCAAATGTTGCAGACCTTAGATATTTCAAAATTTGAATTCTGTTAGATCAAATAATCTGAGTTTGAAATATAAAAGGTTTAAAACATCTAGTTCTAAAGATATTGAGGTTTAAATATTTGATTTTGTTCCAAAGACTCAGTTCCTTTTAAAAGTAAAATAAAAATTAAAACGATTGTCCGCAAAAATAGAAGAAAGTTTAGAATCAATATAAAGTATCCAATGTTGCCTCCCTTTAAGATATGTTGATGATGTTATTTTTGAAATAGCTAATTCTTCTGCAATGATTAATACTTAATTTTTCTTATTATTAAAACCATTTAAAAAACCTTAAATTTATATTTTGGTTTTACGTTAAATGTAAATGGTTGTCTTAAATCTGGATAAGCTGGGCTGGGTTTGGCAGAATTAACGCCTAACCACTACAATACAGTACAGTAAAGTACATTACAATACAGTACACTTCAGTACAGTAAAGTGCAGTACATTACAGTACATTACAGTACAGTACAGTAAAGTACAGTACAGTTCAGTACAGTACAGTACAGTACAGTACAGTACAGAACAGTGCAGTGCAGTACAGTACAGTAAAGTAAAGTACAGTGCAGTACAGTACAGTATAGTACAGTACAGTACAGTACAGTACAGTACAGTACAGTACAGTACAGTACAGTACAGTACAGTACAGTAAAGTACAGTACAGTACAGTACAGTACAGTACAGTACAGTACAGTAAAGTACAGTACAGTACAGTACAGTACAGTACACTTCAGTATAATACAGTACAGTACAGTCCAAAGAATGATCACCGTGAGCACAACCATAACTTAACTCTCCCAGATGGTGTCTAGTGGTTCAGGATGAATGAGAGAATCGAGGGTGCTAGAGTAGATATATATAAATATAAATGGGGATAAAATAGATAGATAGATAGACAGCTGGACCTGTTGCTGGCCTCCAGATTACACAACATATAGATATATACATATATATCTTTCAAATTTATTCAGTATCCCTGAAACCTAAATAAAAAAAAATTGTTAAAACAATTTTAACAATAATATTTTTCAATATATCCTTTAAGATTTAGATTGCTGAACTGGAGAAGGTTGAGTTGTAATCTTGACATGGTTGGGAAGAGTAAAGAGAAGGGAGACCAGGGGTGGGGGAGGTGAACCGGGGAGGGGTAGGTGACCGGGGAGGGAGGGTGAACAGGGGGTCGGGCAGGGTTGGGCTGGATGGAAAGTGAGAGAGGGAGGGAGGGAGGAGGAGGGTTGATTTAAGAATTAGGTCAGAGAAGGATAAAGGGGACAGAAAACGTTGTAATTGGAAGGAGAGAAGACAAAAATAAACATAGAACATTAATAATATCAAGCTACACAGAAACATACAAAATATTCGTCAATGTTAGAAAATTTACTAAAAAAAAACAAAGAAAACACAAAGTTAAAATAAAAAGAGGAAAACGGAAGAATCTATTGCTGAGAACGTTGTTTTAGCTTTAATTATAAATATAATTCTTTTATTTTGGGTCCGACTGTATTTCTACTACTTTTCATTTCAAATAGACCGCTTTATAAATTAGATTGATAAATATCAAGAAAAGTTTTTTTTCATCACATTAGATTATGATTTTGGTTTTCACAGGAAAATACTATTTTTTCAAGAACGAAAATACAATACGACGATGTGTGCGAAAAGCACTTTATTTTAGGGTTTTATCACTTTTTTTAATACTTTTCTTCCCCCTTGTGACATCAACATATATTGTCAACTATCTAAAGTAACTGTTGATAAATATATTTATTACTCTATTTATATTACAGGCCGAAACCAAAAGTAAAAATTTAACAATTAATTATTTAAAATATACATATGAATAATAAATGAATATGTAGATACATATTATCACTGAAAAACTCTAATTAATTCATAAACTGAACAAAATATGAAAATTGCAATTTGAATCAAAGTAAAACTGAAATAATTAAAAAATTTAAATAAAGATAAATAAAATACTATTAAAATGTGCGAAATTAATTCTAAAGATCTAGGAACGAATAATAAAAGGAATTGACTCTTTGCCACAAACTCTGATTTTCTAATCCCAATATCTTTAGAACCCAATGTCGGAAACCTTTGATATTTCAAACTTATATTTTTTGATCTAACAAAGGTCATACTTTGAAATTTCAAAGGTTTACGACGTTGGAATCCAAAGATATATGGATTAGAAAATCAGAGTTTGTTGCAAAGAATCAATTCCTTTACACAATTTATCATACAAATCATAAATATAAGATAAGAAACCAATTTTATATTTTCAAGTGCTGAAATATTTCAAATATGATAGATAATAAATGTTACATTATTAAAAAATAAACAAATATTAAAAATATTACAATAATTACATAATTACTTAATTACATAATTACATAATTACATAATTACATAATTATTAATACCTTTTTCATTTCTTTATCGTTTTATTCAAATTTCTTTTCCATGGCATCAAGCCATCTTAAAATGATTTATAACCTTTAAAGCTAAAATTAACACAAGAAATTACGATGAAAATCCTACGTTTTAATAAATCAACATGCTTGTTCAACCCTCAATTTGGGGACATTGTATCGTTTAAAATGTGATGTGACTCATACTGTAAAATTGAATTCTTAAAAAACAAGTAATGACGACCTTGAAGAAAAATGGCTGCCGGAGGAAGAGACGACAGTTTACGGGGATGTGCTCATTGAATATAGGACAGTTTTTACTTAATTGAACTGGAAAGATCCTTGTATTGCAAATATTGGATGAGAATAAAATATAATTTTAGTAATAAAATGATGAATGAGCTGATATACAGAGAAAACTGAAAACTGTTCAAAATATTTCGTAAGAGTCATAAATGTTGGTTCTACAGATCTAAATAAATTGTTATTGCTCTTTATATGTTGTATTGTAATCTGCTGAATCTGTAAACTGATTTATCAATGTTTTTAATATCGACCTAAACCGAGTTTGTTGAAATCAGCTTGTTGAAATCAGTCTCGTATAGAAATGAACAAGGTTTTGTAAAATATTTAAGTTTGTGGTTCAGAGCTGAGAGCTTGAAACCCATCCAGGATATCCAGCATCTTCTTAGTGGTAGAATCATCCATCCTCATTGTACCGTGACTTTCCTTCTAAAATAAGTAGCATGTTTGCAGTTTACATTGTGCATATCAACTTCATTGATGTTTTGTACAAAGTACACAATTTTAACCATTTTAAGGGACTGTATGCTAAATTGATGTTTTGTACAAAGTACACAATTTTAACGATTTTAAGGGACTGTATGCTAAATTTCTATTTTAACGATTTTAAGGGACTGTATGCTAAATTTCTAGTGACCATCCATTTAAAGGAGGGCATGTCCGATACACAATGGTACGCTTTAGAACTTTGTCTGGGAAAAAATTGTGGACTTATAACTGTTATTTAAAAAAGAGACTATTTCTTTCACTTTATTTATCAAATATTTATTTAAGTGTATCGTTTGTTGAAAATTGGGCATGTTCCCCTTCAAATGAAGGGTCAATTGAAATATATCGATGCGAATAGGTATGATTTAATTTACATGTGCTACTCGTATAAACCAGTCGGCAGTCAAGCCATTAAAGCAAATTCAAGCTGAACTTGTTGACCATAAACCTATCTCCTAACCCCAACCCTCACGTCATGTCGTCTTTACCAACCCCAAATCCAAACCAAACAATTTCTCCGACTCTACCCCGACAAAGGAAAGTCAAAACAGTGAAACTTTTTACTAAGTGAAAGATCAAATCCATAAATAACTTTGCAATCCATAGTAAATTCCACTTTAAAAATGTGAATTCAAATGTTTTAAACTATTCCATCAGACCCTCAAATCCTTAATTACTCCTTTTTACTCTGACACGCAAAACTAGTAAGTTATACTATTAAATATTCATACCATGTCATTTTATTTTATTAACATTGTCATTTAATTTTATAATATCTGTTTTTTATTACAGTTTTGAAATATATCTATTTACTGATTATTGGAGACTACTGTGTCCGAGTTGAGGACCCCGTCCAACGAACCTATTGATCAAAGAATCTATCGACCAATGCACCAATTAGCCAATTAACAAACCAGACAATTGTCTGTTAAACACCGACGCCTGCCTATTGTTTTACTAAACTATTTAAAGTATGATCGATGATTCAGATGACCTAAGGATGGAACTTTTGTGTGGAGGATAGTTAATCTCAAATTATTGATGTTGATATCCAAAGTGTACACTTTTAAATTAGAAGATAAATGCTTAAACCTAAAATTTAAAAGATCCCTAAAGGGTATGAACACCATCGAAGAGGAAGTAAATTAATCCATAGGTCTCTGAATGATTGATCCTGAGATTTACAATCTCAAAACTTCTAACTTTTGGTTTTTTAATTTGTTGCTTTAAAAATCATAGCATGTGATTATGGGCTACAATACGCTTTGAAATCGTACATATTTTAAATGAGAGTTTTAATCGTCACAGAAGTTCTTTAAGTACAGCAAGGGCATACTGAGCTTTACAAATCTTTTTTTCTTTGGTGTGGGGGGGGGAAGTTTAGAGTTACCCTTTATTTGCGCTCAAATTTAAACTTCTGTCAATTCAGATTTTTCTTAATAAAAAATGTACATTTAAGCTAGGCTATTTAGAGAAATAAAATGAAAAATTTAATGTTTAAAGTTTAAAGTTTAAAGTTTACCTCGTATACAATATCGTAAACAGTCATCATAAACTTGAGACAAGAGGCTAATGTTCCTCCCCGTAGTTTGGGGAAATTCTTTCCAGCCGGCTGCAGTACTCCTAAACACAAATCAATTATAGTTGGGGAAAATTTCTAGTGTATAACGATTAACGAAGTAAATTTGTTTTTTTTTCATACTTATTCTAAAACTGGAAACTAGAAGAGCTACGAGGTCTCAAAGTCGTACTATAATAATGTTTCATATACTTTTGAACTTCTTCAACTTTCTTGTGAAGTGTGGTTTGACTTAAAAAAATAACTCTCCGGGGATCTTTAAAAAGTCCATAGAAAATAACAAAATTCGAATACCCTGGTATTTTATTCTGTTTTTTTAATTCAATTTAAATATTATTAGTTGTGGCTATGGATGTAGTTGAATAAAAAAGTATTTATTTTTAGTTGTCATTTTTTTAATGGAGGGAGTTAATGAAACTTGGAAAACGAAATTACAAACGAGGTTTTAATTTAATTCATTAGTATTAAGAGATTAAAAATACATGACTAAATCAAGATTCAGAAAAAAATATTATAATCCACAAAAAAATGTTAATATACACAAAACTAGCATGAAAATACACAAATAGCTAGAAATTATGGAATAACAAATTGGTTCGAAAATACCAAAATATCATTTAAAAGACACAAAATTGTTAAAATAAATAATTATTTTTTTTTGTTTCACCAAACATACTTTCATGTATGAGATTAAGAAAGCCTTAACATATGAGCATATGAAGCAAAGAAGGATTTTGATTAAAAGTTTGCGTGTTAAACTGAAATTACCTGCTACTGGTATAGTCTGCTGAGTCAAAGAGGCTAAAAGTCGTTTCATTAAACTTTCAACCTAGAAAACATTTAACATTTTTAAACAAAGGAATTGCGTTTTTATCACAACCCCAAATTTTCTAATCCCTATATCTTTGCGACCTAATGTTGTAAAACTTTAATATTTCAAACTTAGACAACTTGATCTGACAGAATTCAAAGTTTAAAATATCAAATTCCTGAATTTTGAATTATTTGATCTAACAGAAATCATAGTTTGAAACATCTACATAGGTCTACGACATCATGTATTAGATTTAATGAAGAAAATATTTAATGAATACCGATGTTTAGTGTAGATGCCCTAACCAGCTGTAAACAATATTAATTTCCAGTTTTTAACCAATACATGAAAAGTGTTCTAATATAACTGTAGGAACGGTAGATTCGTATAATTTAAAAATACTGCATGAGCTCATGAAATCTATACAGTGCATAGCTTAGCACACAGGGATCCTTAAATTGTAAGCTCTCATGCTAAATTCGATGAGAATTGTTGCCAATTACTTCTTAAAAATTTAAGCTAAAATAAAAACAAAATCTGTATGGCTTCAAAACAGTATAAGTGAGCTAGGGAAAGTCGTTGCAACCCTTTAAAGTCAACCCAGTCTTGAAAAATGATTCAATTTTTCATAGCAGTTTTGATCTATGTGAGCCACCCAACAACAAATTAGGAGTTTTTACTTTTGTTAGTGTCTTAAAAAAATACTTCAAACATTTCCGAGGAATAATCAACATTTTTATTTTTAAAAAAGATCACAATTTAAGACAAAGTTTCTTGACAATTCCCCAAATATCTCCATTATCAATGCTAAAATATCCCCATTATCAATGCTAAAATATTTCCATTATCTATGCTAAAATATCTCCATTATTAATGCTAAAGTATCCCCATTATCAATGCTAAAGTATCCCCATTATTAATGCTAAAATATCTCCATTATCAATGCTAAAATATCTCCATTATCAATGCTAAAATATCTCCATTATCAATGCTCAAATATCTTCATTATCTATGCTAAAATATCTCCATTATCAATGCTAAAATATCTCCATTATCTACGCTAAAATATCTCCATTATCAATGCTAAAGTATCCCCATTATTAATGCTTAAATATCTCTATTATCAATGCTAAAATATCTCTTTTATCAATGCTAAAATATCTCCATTATCTATGATAAAATATCTCCATTATCAATGCTAAAATATCACCATTATTAATGCTAAAATATCTCCATTATCAATGCTAAAATATCTCCATTATCAATGCTAAAGTATTCCCATTATTAATGCTTAAATATCTCCATTATTAATGCTAAAGTGTCCCCATTAATAATGCTAAAATATCTCCATTATCAATGCTAAAATATCTCCATTATCAATGCTAAAATATCTCCATTATCAATGTTGAAATAAAGTTTGTATCGTTGCAATTTTTTGTTTATTTTTAAAAGTTGCATAAATTTAGCCACAGCTACGTTTATATTGTATTGCAGAATTATTTCTTGTAAAAAAATCCAATGTTCAATACTACACTGTTAAGCTTGATAATAATATATTTATTAATAGACTTGGGCTTTATAGATTATTCATCAAAGTCAAGAGTATATTATTAACGACAAGAAAAATATAGGAGCTGCAAACTCCAGAGTCACTTGCTTTGAGAGAGAACACTTCCGGAAAGAGAATTTCCGGAAATAACTAATACCGCCCATAGTCCACAGCCAGTTAGCCCAGTCCCTGTCCTAGCCACAGGCTATAGAAGGGGCCGAGTGCTGCGGCTAGAAAAGGACAATGGTCCTACCAATGTGGCTAGAATTACAATGAAACCCTTAATAACGAATACATCGGAAGAGTTTATCAAATGTCACCTGGAACATTTCTTAATGGGTTTTGCCGCTGATAATTTTATAACAAGAAGCATGTATCCCTAAATCTCAGTAATTGTGCTGAATGAACTGAAGCTGTCGTAAATTTTCTAAAGCTGTCATTCTCAATCTGTAGTGTATAGACAGCATCTTTTTAAATAGCTGCTTTCAAGATTTTCTAATTGGCTAGTTAGACATAAAGAGTTTTCGTCCCCAAGTTGAACGAGTACAACTAGTTGTAACACCTATCTAGTTTGCACTCTCGAGTGTTCACTGGAGAAGTAGTTGAACTTTTCATACACCAGTTCAACTTGCCATACTAGTTCAACTTGTCATACTAGTTCAACTTGTCATACTAGTTCAACTTGTATTTGAACATTTAAAAACGAATTTTGTCGGTGGCAAATTTTTTTAATTCTGAACATCCATAAACCTTCCCTGGGGTCATATTAGGTCCCACACAAAATTTGTGCCCGATCGGTTCAGCCGTTCTGATGTTTATTGGACACAAACAAACAGACAGACACCCAGACAAGCAAATTATTTATAAAATGTTTTCTAAAAACTGATCCTAAATTTGGATATTTAAACCCTCCCTGTGTAAACCTTCTTCTTATTGTTTCACCATTCTACAATTCATTACTTGTTTTAATATGTTTAAATATGTATTTTATTAAAATCCATTAAATTCATTAAACCAAGAGAACAAGTTATAAAAGGTTGGTTTGCAATTTGCATGTTTTCCTGCATTAATGAGTTTCATGAAATTTTAATTTATATTTAAAAGGCATTTTTGAATATGTGCTTACATAATGTCTTGACAAAATGTCTGGCCATAAATCTGTGAATTTTATTATTACACCGAGTTTATGCATGGGGTATACTTTATTCTGCTCAGCTGGTTATTGCTAAACATGAAAGTAGCAAAACTACTTGAAATTCGTCTATGAAATTTTAATTTATTTGTATTTGTCGTCAACCTATTTTCACATGTATGATCTTTTAAGTCATTACCTTAAAAAAATCTCTTAGTCCTGATATTTCAAAATGTGGTCTACCTTTTTTGTGCTGCACAATATTGCCGGAGATATAATTTCGTGCAGAATTTCAGTTTTATTAGATAATTCCAAAATTGTTGAAATATGAACGAAATTCTTCAAATTTCCGGTGATATTGAAAACACATAAAGGCAGACCACATTTTAGAAATGCCAAGACTATAAGTTGCATTTTATGATTATTAACTCTAGAATTTTACTTCTAAGAATAGGTTTACGAATATATGCCTCAAATTATTTCAACGGTAAGTTCTGGTAAAAAGCTTCGCAAGAATTTAATACTTGAAATGATTAAAAAATATATTTTCTAACCTGTGGACGTTTGAGGGGCTGCAACCTGGCTACAAACCTGATTATGTATTCTAGTATGTACACCTGGGTTCAACATAATTTATCAAAATAATGCAGGTTAAGAATTTTAAGCGATCATTTAAATACAAAGTACCATCCATGATGGGGTCACACAACATTCTTTTTTTTGACAATCCCTTTAGCGAAAAAGATTATTTCTTATGAAATTAGGTTAATTATGAAATGTTCTAATTAAATCAGCTTTTTACGTTTTATCATTTATCATTCTGTTCTATTCGTTCTTTTCAAACACAAAAAAAATATTTTCTTTAAAAAAAAAAATTTCCTTTAAATCATTAACAAAAGCATTTGCAATGAAGGAATTCTGCAGATATCAAAAATATCTTAAAACAACAAAATCATTTTTAGAAAATGAAAAGTATTTTCAATATGCATTGCGAAATCTCAACTAATTGGAAAATAAATTTGGCTTGTCTATGTTTTTTTAAAATTTTTTTTTGTATTCGAAAAACGTCAAAATGGTTTAAAAGATGGTCCAAATTTTTGTTTATGGTAAGTTTCATGTTCCCTAGGGGGGTTTTATGGCCTGTCAAAATATACAAGTGTGGTTAGAAAACTTTAGATTTTAAACATTTTTGAAAATCCACAAATGTTAACAGAAAAAAACTAACGAAATTTTTAGATATAATGTTTTTGTAGCTGATAAAAATGTTTTATAATTATCCAAAAATCTAATTGTCCAGAAGAAATTTGAACTTATTTGATTAATTCCTGATGGCTAGGTAGACGTCTATAAGTCTTCTCTAGATTATCTCCCAAAATCACTGAGCCATTGACTATTCAAAATTTGACGAAAAAAAAAACTAAAAACAAGCTCGCGCATTATATATCTATTTGAGATGAATAGTCAATATTCCTATATATGTGATACTGTCTTTGTCCAATACTGGAGATTTAAGATGTTCCAACCAGTCAAATAATAGGGTGGATAATACTACAAAATTAAATGGAATAACATTCTTCGTTGTCCTGTGCTTTGAATTTTTTTTACTCTTGTCACATTGAAACGAGATTAAGTGATGTAGATTAGCGCTGTTTTACAAAAAAAATTTTGACCTCTGATTTCTAATTTTTGTAGAGATATATTTAAACAATAGATAAACATCTTTTTAATTATCTTTTTTTTTCTGTTTGAAAATATTATTCCACTAATTTCCTTGTATGCTAGTTTCAGCTTTTAATTTGTCCCAGGCGGACTCACGGAAGTTTAAATCCTGCTGGTACTGTTTGACCTAGAATACTAGATTTAGAACCCACCATTGCCCAGGGTACTGTTTAACCTAGAATACTAGATTTAGAACCCACCATTGCCCAGTGTACTGTTTAACCTAGAATACTAGATTTAGAACCCACCATTGCCCAGGGTACTGTTTAACCTAGAATACTAGATTTAGAACCCAGCATTGCCCAGGGTACAGTTTAACCTAGAATACTAGATTTGGAACCCAGCATTGCCCAGGGTACTGTTTAACCTAGAATACTAGATTTAGAACCCAACATTGCCCAGGGTACTGTTTAACCTAGAATACTAGATTTAGAACCCAGCATTGCCCAGGGTACTGTTTAACCTAGAATACTAGATTTAGAACCCAGCATTGCCCAGGGTACAGTTTAACCTAGAATACTAGATTTAGAACCCAGCATTGCCCAGGGTACAGTTTAACCTAGAATACTAGATTTAGAACCCAGCATTGCCCAGGGTACTGTTTAACCTAGAACACTAGATTTAGAACCCAGCATTGCCCAGGGTACTGTTTAACCTACAATACTAGATTTAGAACCAAGCATTGCCCAGGGTACTGTTTAACCTAGAATACTAGATTTAGAACCCAGTGTTGCCCAGGGTACTGTTTAACCTAGAACACTAGATTTAGAACCCAGCATTGCCCAGGGTACTGTTTAACCTAGAATACTAGATTTAGAACCCAGTGTTGCCCAGGGTACTGTTTAACCAAGAATACTAGTTTAGAACCCAGTGTTGCCCAATGTACTGTTTAACCTAGAATACTAGATTTAGACCCCAGGATTGCCAAGGGTACTGTTTAACCTAGAAAAACCAAAATATAAAAACTAGATTGAGAACCCAGCGGTCCCAGGGTACTCATAGTTACTCCCACTCAACTTAGAATTTTATAACCAAGCTAAAACAATCCCGTGGTTCTCCAGAGTTCCCCAATAAAAATAGAGGCAAATCGGTTCAGGAGTTCCTGAGTTATGATCGGACAAACAAACAGACAGACAGATAAAAATTACAACTTTATGCAAATTATTTCTGTTTACCTGCCACGTGGAGGACCATTTCTCTTCTCCTGTAGCCTACAAGATAAAAATATATATCTCTATTTTAGAGGTAATCATAAAATGATGACAAACAATCTGAATACAGAATAAAGATGGAAATAATTAGAATCAATAAAAGAAGGAAATAGAATCATTGCAGTTATATTTTTTTTAATTCAACAGTTGTTCACAAATAATTAAAAACAGATTTGTATTGTCATTTCAAAAATGACATTGCCGATTCACAACTGTACCCTTTAATCGTTTATCTGATCAATGTGGAAAATATTGTAGTTATTTAGTTTGAAAATTACAATTTTCTCCATATTGCTTCTAAAAAAGTCACTTCATAGGAAAACCACTATGGAAAACCCCTATGGAAAACCCCCTTATGAAAAACCCCTTGGAAAACACCTATAGAAAACCACTATGGAAAACCCCTAAGGAAAACCCATAAATAAAACCCCTATGGAAACCCCTATGGAAAACACCTATGGAAAACCCCTATAGAAAACCACGCTGGAAAACCCCTATGAAAAACCCATATGGAAAACCCCGATGGAAAAAATAAACTTTCAATTCGTTATCAGACAAACTATTAAAGGGTACCGTTGGGAATCGGATATGGCACTCATTATTGAAATTAAAATTGAAAAGAAGGTTTAGCAACCCTATACTATACCTTGGCAATATTTACATGCTGCTCCATTAGACCCTCGTAGACAAACTCAGTCTTATAGATCGGTAACTTCTCAGCCATCACATAGTTATGCAGATCCAACCTAGATGCCAGCTCTTGGGTTACATTGTTCTCCTCCAGTTTCTGGGACTTTATCCCGTCTCCGAGTATTTCATCCAGGTTCTTATCATCTACCCCGGAGAGAGCGGATGAGCAAGATTGAACCAGGGAGTTGGTTTCAGAGTTAGGTCTTGACTCCCCCGGAGTCGTGGTTGCTGTGCTCATCTCAGTATGCCCGTTAAGGGCGGAGTGACTGGATCGTCTGGTAGCCATCATACTGTCACTTGGAGTAGACTCTAGAGAACCCGGAGCACTCATAAGCTCCAAACTATTGTTTATCTTAAATGCCAGGAATTTCCTGGTAAAATTACAAACATTTACATCGTAGCTCTTGTTACCTTCGTCACACAGTCTGATAATACGTTCACAGAGTACATAAAGTATTTTAGGAATATATTTTAATGTCCTCGCCTCGTAACCGTGGCTTATATATTTCTGGCGCTTCAAGCAGGTCTCTACTGTAAACCTTCCAACCTTACGGTCTCGTTCTGCCGGAGGTTTAGTACTGTACACTGCAATATTTTATCTTATTCTCAATATTCTTAAAGGGAGTATTCTCAAATCTGAAAGGGGTTGCAAGTCGAATCGGTCCCACAAACAAGAGCTATGAATGGTCCATACTTATTGAAATAAACTTATTAAAATTTTAATTTTTAATCTAACATTTAAGAGGCTTTAACACTTAAAAAGTATAGACAACAAACAAAAAACATTTCAAATTCGAAATTTTATAATTAATTAGATGAAAAATTTAAAAGTAAAGGTTTAACGCACATATTTTTTTACATCGTTACATTTCTTTTATCTACATAGGAGTAATTTAACCACCTCGAACCAGAAGACAGAATGATATCCTCTAAGAATAATAAACTACTTCTTCTAAACAGGTTGATTCAAATCTGAATTATTAAACTAGATGTAAAACAAGATTAATTCCTAAACACTGTGGAAGGAAGAATGTTTCAAACTCTTTTACAGTTGCAATTTGTCCTCTAAATACATCGAAAATTTATAATTTTATGATAATTTATAAATAATTGATATTCTAAATCTTTCTTAGGGTTTTAATTTGTTTATGTCGTGCATAAATGTTTAAAGTGTTTATAAATGTTTAATATGAACATTTATAAACATTTATAAACATTTAAATTTATACATGTTTATAAATGTGTATAAATGTTTATAAGGGTTTATAAATGTTATACATATTTCAAAATATGTACAATGTTTATAATTCTGTATAAATGTTTCTTAGTGTTTCTTAATAATTTCTTAATAATTCTAAATGTCTCTGAATGTTTTTATATGTTTCCAAATGTTTAACTAAATGTTTCTTTATGATATATTTCGATGCTTTCCTTGTTTGAACTGCATTTGGTCTTTTTAGCCGGACATATCTAATTGCATCGTTCGATCTGACCCTAGTTAACAGACATTGCTTTCAGGCACAAAAATATATATATCAATATAATTATGTTAACTTAATGTTTAATACCGATAAATCAAACCAATAAAGGAAAGGAAAGCCAGCGTGAAACCACGTGACAAATATAATTGGTGACAAACTTATCTTTTATTAATTTTAGAGAACAGGGTTCTGCAGTTGAATTAATACAGTTTGGTAAACATAATATATCCCTACTATAGGACATTTTCTAATTAACAGAAAAATAGGTTTAGTAATTGCTATCAACGATGTGAGGGAAAATCCTAACGTTGTGTTCGACATATCAATATATCGAGCACTTTATAAGACTTATCTCATCACTGCACTGGCTGTTAGCTTCTGATTGGTTTAATAAGTAATTGTTTATACAGTAATAACAGATTAATATTTCACAGGGAAAATTAAAATTCACTTTTTACAGTGCAAGTAATGCATGAAAAGCAATGCCTAAGATGATAAACCAAGTAGCAAGCTATAAGAACACCAGTCCTGCCCAGGCCTGCATGACAGTGAACTGCAACTTTCCCTTCTGACAAAGCAAAAGATAGCACCTAAACAATGAAAAGATAAAACCTAAATAATGAAAAGATAGAACCTATATAATGAAAAGATAGCATCTAAACAATGAAAAGACAGAACCTAAACAATGAAAAGATAGAACCTAAATAATGGAAAGATAGCACCTAAACAATGGAAAGATAGCACCTAAACAATGGAAAGATAGAACCTAAACAATGGAAAGATAGCACCTAAACAATGGAAAAATAGAACCTAAACAATGAAAAGATGGCACCTAAACAATGGAAAGATAGCAACTAAACAATGGAAAGATAGAACCTAAACAATGAAAAGATAGAACCTAAACTATAAGAAGATAGATCCTAAACAATGAAAAATAGAACCTAAACAATGGAAAGATAGCACCAAAACAATGAAAAGTTACAACCTAAACAATGAAAATTGATTTAACCAAACAAAGAATAACGCATACGTTTTACATTACAAGGACAATACATTTCATTTACACAAATCCTTATGTATTTGCTTCCTGATTTCGAGGACCTTGATATTACAAACTTTCATTTCTGTCAGGTCAGGTAATCAGAGTTAAAATTTAAAGCTTGACGTTCACACCATCGGGTTAAAAAATAAATAGGGATTATAAACTATAAAGAGTTTCAGGCATGTTATCTGTTCCTTTATGAACAGGAAAAAATGTTTGTATTCTGAAAATAAGTTTGTGTAAATAAAATGTTTTTTCCTTGTAATGTAAAACGAAAATAAATCAGCATCCTTATCCATGAGATAAATCAGTACCTTAACCATATCCATGAGATAAATCAATACCTTAACCATATCCAGGAGATAAATCAGTACTTTAACCATATCCAGGAGATAAATCAGTACCTTAACCATATCCAGGAGATAAATCAGTACCTTAACCATATCCAGGAGATAAATCAGCACCTTAACCATATCCAGGAGATAAATCAGCACCTTAACCATATCCAGGAGATAAATCAATACCGTAACCATATCCAGACGATAAATCAGTACCTTAACCATATCCAGGAGATAAATTAGTACCTTAACCATATCCAGGAGATAAATCAGTACCTTAACCATATCCAGGAGATAAATTAGTACCTTAACCATATCCAGGAGATAAATCAGCACCTTAACCATATTCAGGATATAAATCAGTACCTTAACCATATCCAGGAGATTACTTGACGAGGTTTCACCAAAATCTCTCCAGATGAAATTATAATAGAAGATTTTTCTTTTCATTAACTCGTTCGGATCATATGTAAATCCTGATGGTTCAAGTTTAGGTCCACAGCTAGCATGCTCACCAGGCATCTAAATTACAAAAAAATAACAAAACAACATTTTGTTGTGTCTTAGAATTTAACATTTTTAAAAAACTTTGTTTGAATTCAAAAGATTTCTCCCAACAACTCTAAAGCTAGAACTACAATAATAAACACTTCTATATCTTCCACATTATTAATCAGATAAAGGTTTAAAAGGTATCTAGATATGTTAGATTACTTAAAGTTACAACGACGTTAGCTTTAATGTCGTTAAATAATATTTGACCTGAAGATTAACTACAGATTTTATACCCGTCTGTTCGAACTGTTCAATTAACTTGAACTCCTCCATCTAAACAAATTTATTTAATTGGGGTTTCTTCCATTTTCATGAATATTTAAAAAAAAAATTAATCAAGAACCATGATCATATATTTAGGTTTTAGTTAAATAAAAAAATTATTTTTTCATGATTACGATCCTTTACACTTAAAAGTTAAAAAATAATGAAAGTTGTTTTTCAAAAATCATTTTTATCTTTATTATAGTTCAAAGAAAATATCGTTTAGAGCGTAAAATTAAAAAAATATGTAAAATGTTTTGTATTTTATCTGACCTGAGCTGTGTTAGGTCTGGCCATGGCTAGAATATCCGAGGTAATCCAGGAGGAATATATTCCCTAGGGAATATTAGTTTAATAATTGACCAAGGGGACAGAATTTAAAGAATTTGAACTGCTAAACGCCGGTTCAAAGTTTGAATCATCGATTCAAATCCTTAACCAATTGATAACTTTGAATCAAAATTGAACCGGCAGTTGAAAGTTAAGCGACGTAGCACACTATCATTAAATTGGGACGAAAATATATGTGCCCCTGTATTTTGGATTAAATTGATTAAACTAACATTAAATTTGGTAAATAGATCAATTTTTATCTCAAATTCTAGTATGTGTTTTTTTTATAAATAAATTAAATTATCGTGTATATGTATTATTATATGATGTTTGCAAATGAAATAACAAGATGTTTTTTCTAAATTAAACAAGTTTATAAGTTTAGTTTTGTTTTATTATTTACTAGCTGAAGGGCCAGGCGTTGCCCGTGGGAAAAAATTTAAAAAATTAAAAAATCGATTAGCCTATAACACCCCCGGCCACCCATGAGTGTTTCAGAAAAAAAATTCAGCCCAATCGGTCCAGCCGTTTGGTTATACGCAACATATATATTGTACAGATTGAATATTATAGAGATTATCATAGATATATAGATATATATAAATATTAAATATTATAGTATAGATAATATATTGAATAGATTAAATATTATACTTGTTATTATATTTACAGTATAAAAGTGAGTTGGACACTGGACTAAAATAAAATCTAATTTTAAAATGTAACTTCAAAGAAGGAAACTTCAAAGACGACTGTACGGAATTTACACACTTTAACCTTACATTCAAGGTTCGAAGCAGATATTAACTTGTATTTTTCTTTGCAGCACAATTATATATGTTAATTCTATGGTAATATGTTAATATGTTAATATGTTAATATGTTAATATGTGAAGTCTATATTTTAGGCAGAAAACTACAAAAGGTCGTCAGTAAAGTCTCATCCTTTGTGGGTAACTATGAACTCAATTATATGACTACTCTAGTACTCTATTTTACACCTTTGTTTATCGGAGTATTTAAACCTTGTATCCTGCAGATTACCTGTAAAGCCATATCCTGTTTGGTCCAACTATTTCCGCTCTCATACTTGCACCGTCGGCCACCACAGAACATAGAGCACTGAACCTCATTAGGAGTATTCCGTCGAATACTTTCACCTGCAGAGCCCATTTAGTCAGACATTAATCATAATTTTTCAATTAAATATACTGAAATTATATAAAATGTTAGGTATTTTCACAAGTGACAACTTTCTTAACGACAATTTCCCAAGTGGCAACTTTCTTAATGACAATTTCCCAAGTGACAACTTTCTTAATGACAATTTCCCAAGTGACAACTTTCTTAATGACAATTTCCCAACTGACAACTTTCTTAATGACAATTTCCCAAGTGACAACTTTCTTAATGACAATTTCCCAAGTGACAACTTTCTAAATGACAATTTCCCAAGTGACAACTTTCTTAATGACAATTGACAACTTTCTTAATGACAATTTCCCAAGTGACAACTTTCTTAATGACGATTTCCCAAGTGACAACTTTCGTAATGACAATTTCCTAAATGGCAACTTTCTTAATATTCCAAGTGGCAACTTTCTTAACGACAATTTCCCAAGTGGCAACTTCCCAAGCCTATTCTAACCGCACTGCTCGGCTCCCTAGCCTATCCTACCCAAATCGCTCAGCCCTGAAAGCGGCGCCTCAGAAGGCCTTGCATAACCTTTGGTATGTTGCCGCTTGGGAAATTGTCACTTGAGATGTCGTTCGTTGAAAAATGTATTTAGGAAAATACCTTACACTATAAATTCCGATCTGAAAAGTTTTTGACAATTTTCCTTAAAAATAGCCCAAACAGCAAAACTATGCGTCCTGGGAACAGATTTAGTATTTGAACTTTGAAGATAAGCTGAACCATTTAAACAGAACAGAGAAATAGTTAAACCACATCTTCATAGTTCAAACTACTTTGTGCTATTAATGAAATTAGATCCCTAGTCATGTATTGCTAATTAAACCTAGTCTACTCCAAATTTTGAACAATTTTCATCCAATAATAGTATTTTTCTGCTATTTTTGTTTGTTTTGGACGCCGTAGAGGTAGCAACTATGTATTGGCAACACAATTTATGGTACTTTTGCATACTTTTTTTAATAGAATATTTGAATAGTGACTTCGCGTGAAAAAAAACGTTTTGAATTATTCTACGTTTGATAAAAGCTACAATTTAAAATGTGAATACACGTTTTCGAAACAAATTCAATAACAAATTTTACAAAAAAGATGCAAAACTTCTTTGTTTTGACAGCGAATATTTCAAATCAATCTCAAATAGTTCTTCTAAAATATCCGAACGGGAAAAACTACTGGAATACATCTGAACCAAATGAGAATTTGCTAACATTTCGGATTCAATTAATATTGGAACGACTGAGATATTTATAATTTCGGCCTTAATATTATCACCATGCTACTACCCACTGAATGTGTAATATTAATTTAGTTTGAGTCTGATGAATAATTTTGAATAACAAACACACTATGTAGAGGGTTTTCCACTTTAATATGCATTATCGATAAACCAGCAACTACAGGTCTACACCTTTCTATAACCTCTATGTCATTCAAGTATTGAACTCGGTATATTCATTTCAGAAATTCTACACTCTCCACTAAAACCCACTATTTATTCGGTCAGAGAACTCCAAATCGTTGCAGTACATACCAGAAGCTCTATTGAGGGTGCATGTTGCTCAACTTTAAGGGGACTGTCATCGTGATTTAAGTAACGTTTCGATGTTTTTATTAAAAAGACCCTTTTCCTTTATTTGAGTAATACTTAAAAATTAATTTAGATGATTTGTTAACTCTTATTTGGCACTATATGTCGCAGAGGTCAATATTTGGCACTATATGTCGCAGAGGTAAATATTTGGCACTATATGTCGCAGAGGTAAATATTTGGCACTATATGTCGCAGACGTAAATATTTGGCACTATATGTCGCAGATTGGCACTAGATGTCGCAGAGGTAAATATTTGGCACTATATGTCGCAGACGTAAATATTTGGCACTATATGTCGCAGACGTAAATATTTGGCACTAGATGTCGCAGAGGTAAATATTTGGCACTATATGCCGCAGACGTAAATATTTGGCACTATATGTCGCAGACGTAAATATTTGGCACTATATGTCGCAGACGTAAATATTTGGCACTATATGTCGCAGACGTAAATAATTTCCAAATATTAAACAACAAAGAACAGTTTGATTAAACAATAGATCCATCTGAGAATAATTAAATGCACTTTCAACTAAAAAAAAAAATGAAAATTTAAGCGATGAATATCAAACCGAGTCAAAGACAATGCGATAGTACACCATAAAGAGTAAATCCTCAAGAGAAAATCAAAGATTGCATCGGATTCAAATATTGTATTTGATTCAAAGAATGTACGATGGTTTAAAAAAATCCATGGGATTCAAAGATTTCATCGGATTTAAAGAATACATGGGACTTAAGGAATACAAATGGATATAAAGAATGCATGTTACTCAAATAATGCACGGTATTCAATGATTCCGTGGGATTAAAAGAACGCCTTTGGATTAAAAAATTCATGGTATTCAAAGAATGCATTAGATACAAAGAATGCAGGATTCATGGAATTTATGGAACTCAACGAGTAAATGAGATTATGGGACTCATTGAATGCACGAGCTTCAAGGATAGCATGGGATGCAAAGAATGCGCGGGATTCAGAGAATGCACGAGATTAAAGAATGCACGAGATTAAAGAATGCACGGGATTAAAAGAATGCATAAGATTCAATAAGTGCATCGGATTCAAAGCATGCATGAAATTTAAAGAGTGCATGCGACTCAAAGAATGCTTGGGATTCAAAGAATGCTTGGGATTCAAAGATTACGTGAGATTTTAATAATGTATGGGATTCAAAGAATGCATGGGATTCAAAGAATACTTGAGATTTGAATAATGAATGGGATTCAAAGAATGCATGGGATTCAAAGAATGTATGGGATTCAATAAGTGCATGGGATTCAAAGCATGCATGAAATTTAAAGAGTGCACGGGATTCAAAGAATACTTGAGATTTTAATAATGTATGGGATTCAAAGAATGCATGGGATTCAAGGAATGCATGAGATTCAAAGAAGGCATGGGATTCAAGGAATGCATGAGATTCAAAGAAGGCATGGGATTCAAAGAATGCATGGGATTCAAAGAATGCATGGGATTCAAAGAATGCATGGGATTCAAAGAATGCATGGGATTCAAAGAATGCACTAAATTAAACAAGATGGGATAAGACAAAAGTAATTCAACAGAGCTCATTGGATTTAAAATAGAAAAGTTTCCACCACTCTGTTCAAACTAGATTAATCTCTGATCATTCCTATTGTTGAATATTTGGGTAGAACGATCCCAATAGTATCAGTAGCCTAGCGATCAATATATCCCATCAGGATCAAGGAAAATACCAAGAAAAGGGATTTAAAAAAAACAGTTAACAATAAACAATAATCAAAAACATATCTTGTTAAATATACAATGAAGAAATAATAATAATGAAATATTATTAATAAAGGAAAAGGACTAAAATTATGGTTACGAAAATATGGAAAAATCAGAGAAAACTGAAATGAAAAACGATTAAATAAAATAAAAACTAATCCATAGAAAGAGATCTATCCTTGCTAATGATAAAACAACTGAGAGCAACTTAAAGAAAATTTAACTCTAAAATTACGGATGAACCTAAATCAACGATAATACTTAATCAATGATTTTTCAATGAAGGATATATAAAAGGATAAATATTAATTTCCTTGACGAGCCCAGCTGGAACTAGTGAATGAACAGGATCCTTATCATCTTCGAAACTTTGTGGTGCAACTGAGGACATCTTCAACCTGGAGTTCAAAAAATAAAATGTTTATTCTTTATAATGCATTTCTTTTGATAATTCTTAATTTGTTGCCAAATAAAAGTAGAATACGGGAAGACGACCAAACATCAATTAAGGGAAGAAAATTTATAAATCAAATAAAAGAATGATAAATATAAAAAAATATAAATATCCTGCAATTAGCCAAGGGATTTAAAAGGGTTGTTGGACATGACTCCTAAATAGAGAGTGAGCTTAAAATTATAAATATACATCAAGCTGACTTGATCATCGAAAAAGAAGTTTTACAAAGTTATAAAAATCTAAATCGGTGATTTCTTAAAAGATATATACAGTCTGAATATTTTTTATATTAGTTTACAATGTAAAAAACATAACATATTAGTTTTGGTTTGAATATAATTTTCTATTTCCTTGCTGTGGCTGATTTTGTTTTGTTCTGTTGACTGCTTAGAATTTGAATATCATCCAGAGTATCCCATACTTGAGCACTTCGAGCACTTGTACTCTTAGACCTAAACCACATACAGCTAAACAGGGTGTCTAAACAAAACTCTCGTTTAAATACTTTAGCTATTTTTGAATTAATTTTTACATTTCTATAGCATTAAAATGAAGTAAATCAGAGCAGTTTGAATTTTATCATTTGGTTTAATTCACTCTCTACTATAAACTAACTATTTTTCTCAATCATTGTAATACAAAATACTGCAATACTCACCAGAAGCTTAGTTAAGGGTGAGTTGTGAATTTAAATAGATGCAGTTATCTTTGTATTTTCCCATTTATCAAAAGATAATATTAACCTACAACCAGTTTTTTATAAAACACACACATTAAATCCTGTTTTATTGGTTAGTTTTTAAAAGTGACAAAAATAAAAAAATGGGCTATGCTTATTAACTTGTACCGCACGATAATGTGACGTTAGGGGCCACAAATAGGACTTTTATAGACTTATTACTAGTTAGGTTTGGTAATATTTGAATACAACGATTCAGTTAATTTAGGGCGAATTAATTACAATTAAATGAGAGGCAGTCAGGCTTACAATTAATTTTCACAATTAATTTTCGGAATTCTTTTTACTCAACAGTTGTACTTTCATTTACAAAGTAATGCCAAAAAAGTGCTAACTAAACCAAATTTGACGCCATTTTTTTAAAAAAACATGTTCTCAGTTTTATTTTTAATTTTGGTCACACACAAGTTATTTAGACTTTTTTCATATTGAAGAATAAAATTTTGTAAGGAATATTGTTTTTGAATATGCAAGCTGAAGGGTCCGGCATTGTCCATTGAAAAAAAATAAGTAAAAAATGTTGAAAAAAATGAAAAATTGAAAAAAATGTTGAAAAAAAAAATTCGAATTTGTTTAGCCTTTTTCACTCCCAGTCAACCCATAAGTGTTCACTAATAATGTCAGCCTATTTGGTTAACTGTTTGACCGGCTATAGGGAACATATAAGCAAATGTCTGTTTATTATATAGATATATAAAAAGAGAAAGGACTCAAAGCAACGAGAAAAAGTTAAAAAAGAAGATGGGCACGAAGTGCTCTGAAAGCCGGCCTAGTATTATAATAATTTAATCTAATATATGGGTTAATGTGTACGTATTAATTGGTGTATGGAGGACAACTAGCTGGTGGTGTTGCTATATCAATATTTATTTTCAAGGGTTCCACCAAATACAGGGAATATATGAATGTAAAGATTATAAAGTCCCCCGGGATTCATTTTTTTTTAAGAAGGGAAACTTCCATAATAAACAATGATAGAAATATAGAAATAACTAAAAGTTGCACGTCAATGAAAACATAACAGATTGAGGAAATTAAAATTAAATTCATATTTTGAGAATAAATCAAAACTTAAACTGTTATCTTATTAATTTATATATATATTTATCTTTTTATCTATCTAACTATCTAACTATCTATCTATCTATCTATCTATCTATCTATCTATCTATCTATCTATCTATCTATCTATCTAACTATCTATCTATCTATCTATCTATCTATCTATCTATCTATCTATCTATCTAACTATCTATCTATCTATCTATCTATCTATCTATCTATCTATCTCTCTATCTATTTATCTAACTATCTATCTATCTATCTATCTATCTATCTATCTGGCTATCTATCTACCTTATTTCCTCGTTTTTGATGAGTTTACTCACATCACCGTTAGTTAGAAGCTCCTGTATATCATTGCAGTCAAATATTTTACAGTTAAAAAATCAGAAGCGAAATTATCCTCACCTTTGCTATTTCTTTCAATTTAACGATTTAAAATGTATATTTATTTTGAGTATAAATGCAACGCAAATTTTATGCTTGTAATGGGTTTAATTTTTATACATCTACAAAATTGTGCAAGGCCCACTTTTAGTTACAAATTACACCAGTCTAATCGTTAAATGATTTAACCCAAATAATTTACTAGTGTCGACAAGTTTTGTGTTGAAAAGAGAAAAACAAAGTCGACAATACTTTAATTTTGATTTCAAATTGAGAATAACCAGTCTTGTAAAATTGTAAAATGTAAATACACAGACTAATGGCAATTGTTTCACAAAATTGACAAAGTAGATGTTGTTTAAATCATATTCAAATATTATGTTAAAAATAAAAAAAGAAAAAAATGCTTAAATATGATATTTGTTAATGTCAGGATTAAATATAAACTATTTGAAATACAATCCTTTCCAACAGGATTTGAGAGTAAATCCTCTAATGAGTTCTCAGACAATCTGAAATATATAGGAATATACAGGGGGATTCACAATCTAAAATATATAGGAATATACAGGGGGATTCACAATCTGAATTATGTAGGAATATACAGGGGGATTCACAAAGGATGAGACTTCAGAGGCCACCATAGTTTCAGTAGAAATAAATATTTTCATTTACTGATAGCGCCGATTGAAGAATTCATATCTCTAATTGGATAATAAGATAATTACCGCCATACTATTTCAGAATAGACACCAAACACATGACTGAACCCTGATTGGATCAGGCGCTGATGGACTCGGCATACATGAGTGCTAGGCCACTGTATGTTATTATTGTCTTTAAACTATACATTCATGTTTGTCTACAGACACCGCTTTCTTTGTCAAATTAAACACTATGCAACGTTAAAAGAAAAGTGAAAGGTCGTAATTAACTTTCAGATCGTTACATTGTTAGAGGGTTTAAGAACGCAATTGAAATCTCAAGATACAATATAATAAGATCAAGGAGGCAGGATATAGGATACATAGAATTTAAGGATAGGCACAGGATACAGAATAGTTAAAGGGAGTGTTCGCGAAAAATCATTTTTGGCGAACACTCCATTTAATACAGGATATAATCATACAGGAAACAAGACAAAATGGATACAGTACAATTAATACAAGATACATGAAAAAAGTCAAATTATACATGACACAGGATACTATATTAAGGATGCAGTACACAAAATGGAGATCACAGGATTGCAGTTTACAGACAAAACTGTACAGGATACATTACTTCCCCCTTACCTTCCATTCATCGGGTAAAAGTTCTTTTGATGGCTGAAAATAACTCTCTTGACTGTAGAATCTAGAGCATCTGAAGGCAGAGATATCTCAGGTTCTGTTCATTCACAAATATTACAAATATTTACAATTAGTTGGTAACTTTTTTCTCTAAGAAAAATTCCAAGGATGGAAACGGTTTATATTCAGCTTGGGTTATCTGATTTAATTCCTAACCTTTCCTGCACCAAAATAAATATTTTTTATAAATTTTAAGAAAATTAAATATTTTTTAATTGTTAAACAGTTAATTTTCAATTTGGACAATTTAAAAAAAAACATAAAGAATCCCTTGGAATTACATGAATTACTGCTCAACGATGTATCTGAGAACGATCAGAACCGTTTGTGAAGATTTCTTTCTTTCGCGTTTTATGCCTATTAAATCTATAAAACTCATAAAAAAAACTGACTTGCCAAGCTAACAGTTTTAAAGGCTTCTATCTACTTGCTTATTAACTAAATATTTTAATCTTAAAGAATAATATTTTGAATAAACTGCCTGAAATATTGGATCCTAGGGAAGGAGTATCGGGTGAAGAATGACCCCTGGAAGTGTTTGTATTTCCAAGACCATTCTGAAAGTATTTAGATTTGACAAAGATTTGTTGAGGCTTTGTGAGAAACTTTCTTCAGTTCCCTATAAATGATGCCATCTGAAAATGTATTTCATGTAGTTTACAGTCATAAAGGTAAAATGTCTTCGACAAAAAAGAGAAAAAATTCTCTCATTAAAGCATTCGATTCAACAGAAAGAAGAGAAAGAAAAAACGGCTGCCCCCTGACACATAAAATGCATGCAGGAGACCCTTTTAGATTAGAAACAAATTCTGAGAACAACTTTTCAACTTCTTTAGAATTATTTTTACATATTGTAAGTAGAAATGAACCCAAAAGGTACAGAAAATTTCAAAGAAAAATCCTAAATAATTTGTTGTTTGGATAATAATAAATCACCTGTCTTAATGTTTGAACATCATCAATGGTAACACTGTCGTCCTCCTCAACATCACTAGTAAACATCCTTGTCAAAATAATAATTAAATCATTAAAGATTGTAATTACAAAATAACGTGTTCCAAAGCCCCCTTTCTGTTCAGAAGTTCAGCTCATTTACTGCTCTTTGCACGATTTAAATGTTCTCTAAACCTTTGCAAAACCATGAGGTTATGCTTTTGAACATATGTATCTTACAGAGTATTTAAAAAAAAACACATCAAACACAGATTTAGAAAATAGAGAAGGAAAGCGGAGTTCATCCGACTGTCTGATAATGTATAGCTTACATTTAAAAATATACACTGCATATGTGGCAAGAGTAAAAACATTGTATCATCGGAGAAAATATTTGAAATTTTAAACTGTTAAATGACGCTAAACTAGCTTTTGCGGGTTTAAATTTGAATCATCGGTTTAAAATTTAAGATTAAGGAAGGATTTGAATGGGTCACTCAAATTTGAAGGCTCAGTTTCATTTGCCATAATTACACTTGCTTCACTTCTGTAAACGAGGTATTGGCTTCATAGGTGTAGCTGTTGCTGTCTCGCACCATTGTTTTACCCTTACTTGTGGTCTTCAAGGTCACCAAAGGGTCCTCCATTGTGAGAAAATATGGAGCTGAACTTGTGTCAACTGTTCTGTTTTAAAACAATGAGAAAATGGGAAAATTTCCCGCATTTACAGTAAAAAAGACAGATTTATATCTTTTTAAAAATTAGAAAATTATGACAAAAGTAATTAAAGCAAGTGCAATTATGGCAAGTGTAACCATTATGTCAAGTGTAACTCATAGCAAGTGTGACTTATGGCAAGTGTAACTTATGGCAAGTGTAACTTATGGCAAAGGTATTATGGCAAGTTTAATTATGGCAAAAGTATTATGGCAAATGAAACTGAGCCAATATGAATGGTAGGCAGTTTTAATTCAGAGATATAGTTATATACTAAAAAGAAAGGTTCCAAATAACAAAATACTTAACATTTAAACTAATGATCGAAAACGAAAACTATTATACATAATATCAGAGAGCTAACCAGCTATGAAAACTGTGTACCAATTCTGGTTTCTATAAAAGTGACTTGCGCAGTTCTACTGCAGGAAAACATATTTGATGAATTATCAAAAATTACCACTTTTCGAGCTGCAAAAACGTGAATATCTGCTACATTGAACAGATAAAGATTTCAAGGGTACCGTTGTGAATCAGGCATAGCTATCTTTGCATGGAATTGAGGGCTACTCAAAATTATGCTTACAGTCCATTTATTTATCTTTTTCTAATTTTTCTTATCTATTTAAATAATCATTAAAGCACTATTTACTTCATGTATTGTAAACACACTGTCAGATAATATCTATTTTTTCTAATCCTCTCAACGTATCGGAGAAAAATGAATTTTGACTAGATCAAGAGATTTTTTTTCTAAAAATAAACATATCTTAAAAATATTTTAAGTTATAGTATAAAATGGATCAACTTCCTATTGTCAATGTTTCTGAAAAAGATTGCCAGCGTAATTTTAATTAAATGCCCTCTAATTTAAGACTTGCATTACCTGAATACCCAAACAGTACCTTTATGTTAGCAAAAATTAGGAAGGTAGCCTTTATTTGATAAAAAGTGATTGAGTGATTTTCGCAGCAGAATGAAAGAAGGGAATAAACAGAATTTAACCAGACTTCCTGAGAAGAAACCAAGATATCTTCGCTAGTGTTTCTCAGATAAAAGTTTAATGGAAGGGTGGGGGGGGGGGGGGACTTTAAAAATCCTTTACAGTGCCTTTAAATCAATGTGAGTTAACTCTATACCTTCTATTCAGGTTATCAAGGTTATTTAATAAGTAGTAAATTAATTCAGAATATTTTACTAATTTTTGTTACAAGGATTCCTTAAGCTACTCATCCCAGCTCAATCATTCACATCCTAAACCTGGAAAAAATATTTTTTTGAATATTTTTTTTTGATACCTTTGTTTCAAGTGTATAAAAAACGTTACTAAATGACAATAATCAAATAATGAATAATTAAAGTTGATTTCACTCATATGAATTTCTACAGCATCCATTACCTGAGTTAAACTAGAAATGAACACATTTGCACGTGTTCTATCTGCAGGACAGATATTCAACATTTCTAGGTTGATTACGTTCTCCAGGGTTTAAGATCTCGTTAAATTAATTAAGGAATTGATCGGTTGGTTGATTGATTAATCAAGGAGGATTTACTCCCAATAAACTCTGTTACATTTTTCTGAAAAAAATAATGTGTTACGGGTTCAATGGACAGGAATCTCAAAACTTTTATGTATTAAACTCAAAAATTAAGGAATTAGGTATTTGCAGTAAACTCAAATTTTCAAATTCCTTTATCTTGGTAACCTAATAGTGTAATCTTTTGATTTTTCAAACTTAAATTATTTGATATAGAGTTAAAAAAAAATCAGGGTTTGTAGCAAAGACTCAATTCCTTTCTGATGAGTTACCCGATGATAATTTGTGACTAATAGTTAAAGGGGTTTATGCGTTATGATCATACGTAAAAACAAAAAAAAACAGAGATTTCTGCTTTATAAAAAGATGATCTAATACATTTTACGTGCACAAATAACAAGAATAAAAGTTTTTTTAAAACTTTTTCATTGTGACAATTAGCTTCTTATTTTTATATTTAATATATATATATTCCAGGAATATTCAATATTGTCTTCGGAATATTCAATATGTCCCTGGAATATTCAATATGTCCCTGGAATATGGAATTTTGTCCTCGTGAATATTCAATATGTCCCTGGAATATTCAATATTGTCTTCGGAATATTCAATATATCCCTGGAATATTCAATTTTGTCCTCGTGAATATTCAATATGTACCTGGAATATTCAATATATCCCTGGAGTATTAAATATTGTCCTCGTGAATATTCAATATTTCCCCGGAATATTAAATATATTCCTGTATTTTTCAATATGTCTCTTGAATATTGAATATATCTCCAAAATATTCAATATATCCCTGAAATATTCAATTTTGTCCTCGTGAATATTCAATATGTCCCTGGAATATTAAATATATCCCTGGAGTATTAAATATTGTCCTCGTGAATATTCAATATTTCCCCGGAATATTCAAGATATTCCTGTATTTTTCAATATGTCTCTTGAATATTGAATATATCTCCGAAATATTCAATATATCCCTGGAATATTCAATTTTGTCCTCGTGAATATTCAATATGTCCCTGGAATATTCAATATATCCCTGGAGTATTAAATATTGTCCTCGTGAATATTCAATATTTCCCCGGAATATTGAATATATTCCTGTATTTTTCAATATGTCTCTTGAATATTGAATATATCCCCGAAATATTCAATATATCCCTGGAATATTTAATATTGTCCTCGTGAATATTCAATATGTCCCTGGAATATTCAATATATCCCTGGATTTTTCAATGTGTCTCTGAAATATTTAATATATCTCCGGAATATTCAAGATATCCCTGGAATATTCAATATATTTCCGGAATATTCAATATGTTCCCGAAATATTCAATATGTCATCGGAATATTCAATATGTCCCCGGAATATTCAATATGTCAGCGGAATATTCAATATGTCCCCGGAATATTCAATATGTCCCCGGAATATTTAATATGTCCCCGGAATATTCAATATGTACCCGGAATATTCAATATGTCCCCGGAATATTCAATATATCCCTGGAATATTCAATATGTCCCTAAAATATTCAATATATCCCCGAAATATTCAATGTGTCCCCGGTATATTAAATATGTCCATGGAATATTCAATATTGCCATAGAATATTCAACATGTCTCAAGAATATTAAAATTGTCCCCGGAATACTTAATATGTCCCTCAAATATTCAATTTGTCCCTGGAATATTCAATATGTCCCTGGAATATTCAATATGTCCCTGGAATATTCAATATGTCCCTCAAATATTCAATTTGTCCCTCAAATATTCAATATATCCCTGGAATATTCAATATGTCCCTGGAATATTCAATATGTCCCTGGAATATTCAATATGTCAATAGAATATTCAATATGTCACTGGAATATTCAGTATGTCCCTGAAATATTCAATATGTCCCTGGAATATTCAATATGTCCCCGGAATATTCGATATGACCCCGGAATATTCAATATGTCCCCGGAATATTCAATATATCCCCAGAATATTCAATATATCCACGGAATATTCAATATATCCCCGGAATATTCAATATGTCCCTGGAATATTCAATATATCCCCGGAATATTCAATATATCCCCGGAATATTCAATATATCCCAGGAATATTCAGTATATCCCCGGATATTTTGTGTATTCAAAATTAATAATAAAAATTATTTAATTCTCAACAATTCATTTAAAAGATATTTTAGATTAACTGTCTGAGTCCAGGCCAGGCAGAGAAAGCATAATTATGTTTTTTATGGATTTTATTATAAAGGCTTTCCCCAGCACACACTGCCACCCTAGACTTATAATAAATTAAAAACAGGATAAATGAATATAATAAACAAAATTAGAACTAAATAAATTTTATTTATCTTTTTCATGTTAAAAAACTTGCAAGTTTGGAGCAGGAATAAATATGGTTCTTTATTCTAACTTCATATTTTATTAATTGTTCTTAAAAACTTGTGGTTAATTGCCATGGACAAAAAATGACGAGATTTGTTTAGTTTCTTGAAATTGGATTCTAAAATTGTGGTTTGGTAGATAATCTAACAATTTTAATATTTCTCAATTAAAACCTATTCACTGACAACAAAAAATATATAAGAAAGAAGGCAAAACATTTATGTTGAAAGGTCAAATTGTCAGAGATAGAAACAGCTTGCTGATACAAGGATCGAACTGTTAAATCAGTGTGTAGCGCAATGACTAACTCCGCTTCAATTTGAAAGTTTTTACACGCATAATTGAAAGATTTATCGCCGTTATTTCAATTGATGTATTATGAATTATGGTACGATTTACAGCGATTCCATTTAAGCAAATTTAGTTTTAACTCGCACAATGGAGTTTTTATTGTAGAAACGAGGACCCACGAAGAACAATAAGCACGAAGTGGTCGTCAAGTTTTAAAGAGATTGAACAAAGATGTCTTCCTCCACGTTTTTCTTTATAATACACTTATAGCCATAAAATCTTGACAAAGGAAGACGACTTTAAATCAATAATTAAGTGTATTTGTTGTTGTAAAAAGCAAATAGTTTTACTAGATACCAATTCAGTGAAATGGCTCTGTTTGCACTGCACAATCGCTGTTTACCAAGCTTATTGGACTGTTCAAAGTCATAACTTAATTCTAAAAGTCGTCTTCCTATTTCGGAGTTTTCTGGCTATCACTGTATGTTTGTTGCCGTTAAGTAATTCGGAGATGGCACTTTTTGAATACTGATGAGTCACTTGAGTGTTCAGCAGCTATCAGGAAAAAAGTTAAACCTTAATCTGATGAAAGATGCAAGAGATATCCTTATTTTTTAGATGAACATTGATTATTTTCAATTGTGGTTTCTCAAGAAAGGGAAGTGCTGATATTAGATAGTTTGTGTAGAAACAAATAATGCATTTGTCAGAAATCCGCACTGTTGTATGTAGAAAACTGCGATATCCTCTCATTTACACCATTATAAAGGTTCACATGGTCCCGTCGTAAATTGGACCAGCCACTCTGTATAGTTCATATCTATAATCCCTTTAAGCAGTTTTTATTGCAAAACAAATTAAATAAGATAATATTTGAGAAATTTTCCTAAGAATGCATGTTGAAACTGTTTTATTAGAATGGACATTAACATTTGAATTATGTAAAAATTTTATAAATTTTGTATTTCCAGATTAGCTTTTAGCTCAGTGACTATTTAGCATAATAATTCCATTTGTAAGAAAGTTAAAAATCAGGCCAGACTCTACATTATTTTTTACAGTTAAAAACAGTCTAGAAATAGGGTAAATCCATGGTAAATCATTCAGTCGTTCATTAAAGTAAAACTTTCACATTCTAAAAGAAAAAAAATTTTAAGAGCATTTTACATCAGTTCTTCTTTTATTCTGAGGTAATCCTGGTTTCACTTTTTATAAAAAGAATTCCCCTTATAAAGTCCATAATTTGGTTGTTTTCTACAACTTTTTCTTGTAGTAATATATGGAGTTTTTGAAAATCTATTGAAACTTTTTATTTTTTATATTTATCTGTAATCAGTAATGAGAAGTTAAGAAGTTTGAGTATTGAAGATATTAAATGAAGAAGTAAAGAAGTTTAAGTATTGAAAATACTAAATGAAGTAGTAAAGAAGTTTAAGTATTAAAAATACTAAATTAAGAAGTAAAGAAGCTTAAGTATTGAAAATACTAAATGAAGAAGTAAAGAAATTTAAGTATTGAAAATACTAAATGAAGAAGTAAAAAAGTTTAGGTATTGAAAATACTAAATGTAGAAGTAACGAAGTAAAGAAGTTTAAGTATTAAAAATACTAAATATAAAAGTAAAGAAGTTTAGGTATTAGAAATACTAAATAAAAAAGTAAAGAAGTTTAGGTATAAGAAATACTAAATAAAAAAGTAAAGAAGTTAAGGTATTAAAAATACCAAATAAAAAAGTTAAGAAGTTTAGGTATTGAAGATACTAAATGAAGAAGTAAAGAAGTTTAGGTATTAAAAATACTAAATAAAGAAGTAAAGAAGTTTAGGTTTTGAAAATACTAAATGTAGAAGCAAAGAAGTTTAGGTATTGAAGATACTAAATGAAGAAGTAAAGAAGTTTAGGTATTAAAAATACTAAATAAAGAAATAAAGAAGTTTAGGTTTTGTAAATACTAAATGTAGAAGCAAAGAAGTTTAGGTATTGAAGATACTAAATGAAGAAGTAAAGAAGTTGAAGTATTAAAAATAATAAATGTGAAGTAAAGAAGTTAAAGTATTCAAAATACTAAATGCAGAAGTAAAGAAGTTAAAGTATTGAAAATACTTAATGAAGAAGTAAAGAAGTTGAAGTATTGAAAATGCTAAATGAAGAAGTAAAGAAGTTTAGGTATTGAAAATACTAAATAAAAAAGTAAAGAAGTTCAGGTTTTGAAAATACTAAATGAACTGAATATAATTACTAATGTATCGAACTAGGTTGAAAATACTAAATGAACTGAATATAATTACTAATGTATCGAACTAGGTTGAAAACCTCGAGAAACGGTTTAACTCAAGCT